CTAATTTTATGTTTAAAAATGCAGTATTAAATATATTTTAAGGAACCTTATCATTCATACGTTTCTATTATTTATCTAAGTTAGAACAATGAATTTTTTTTTAATGTGGAAATCCCAAAAACTCCATTGATACAACAAATACAATTTATTATCAAAAATATAAGAATTAAACATGTAAACATGAATTACCGAGTATTAATAATTAATCATTAATTTACATTAGTTATGTAACATAATAGCGAGTAACGTTCGGAATTTCCACTGTAAGACGTGTAGCAATCAATCCCTCCCATCAATTATAGTACCCCCGTTTGCAACTTTGGGGTATTTTGACACAGTACCGTGTTTCCCAAAGCTGCACATCATGTCATCAATCAATCTATGGAAGTGTATCGGAATCTGAATAATAAGTGCTAGTGGTAAGTTTTGTCTCTATGACAATTTGGGTTGTGGGTTCTAATCCCGTACCATGCCTCTTTTTTTCACACAATTTCCGCAACACTTTTTATGAACGTTCGTCGATTCCCAATGGCCGTATTAAATTATAAATTAATTCAAATTTATAATAGTAAATTTATACAAAAATTGAAGAATTAGATTTGGTAAAATTTTATGGTTAATAATAAATTTTGGTAATTAAAAAATTTATCTTACCATCCTCAGCTAACGATAAGAACACTCTATCTTAAAAATACATTGTTAAGTTTTTATTTTAATCGAATCAATATACTTTCAAATAAAATTTATTCATCGTTATACTAGCAATTGTAAATAATCAANCTTTCAAATAAAATTTATTCATCGTTATACTAGCAATTGTAAATAATCAATAATTTTACTAATACATTTATTTATATTAATAGATAAAATATAGATTGAACTTTTTCTTACATTTACTATTTAAAAATGATTATTTTTAAATGAACTCTTTAATTACATTACATTTTACATTTTAATTACACAGCTAAGATATTGATCCTGTTTTTTTTTTTTATATAAAACATATTGTAAGAAAATCAATCAATTATATGTCGATATTAAAATAAAATAACATAATCGTTAACAATTTTTTTTTGATATTTTAAATTTTATTATCAATAAAACACACTATATAAATATATGAATATATTTTAGATTCAATTTTGCTATTTTAGATCAAACATAAAATTTAACAGCAATTGAGTCAACAAATAAGTCCTTGTGTTACAATACGGTATCAACTGAACGTTAAAAATTATTTTTAATTTTAATAGGAAGCAGATAAAGAAATAATTTTAAAATTTAACCAACATATTTTTTTCAATTAATTCAGTACTTAAATTTTTTTTAAATCAAATCGAAATTATTTCGGTTCCTATATACGAAAAAATTAATTTTTTTTTCTCACAAAAAATATTACATTTTAGTATATAGATAATTATTTTCGCAAAAATTTATATTGATTTATCAAGTCTAGGGTAAATCTAAAATAAATCGCAGCGATCATGTTAGCTTTTTTTTTGTAATTTTTAATTTAAATGCTTCTTTTAACATGTGAAACTTAATATATCGACCTCAAATTTAGCAAGACACTTTATTAAAGTACTAATAATTGAACTTATTGGGAAATAAAAAAAAATACTTACATTATTCTAAATTAATTCAAATTAAAGCTTTTTTAATATCATATATAATTAAAAAAAGAAAAACGTTCCAGTGACATATTCTTTATGAATAATCAAACATTAAAATCAAAAAACATGTAATACTTGGTAAATAAAATTAATGTTTTAAATATTTTTCAAATATGCATCCAAGCATTTTACAATAGTAATTTTAATTACAATTAAATCTCAATCAATGCTAATTGAAAAAATGCTTCAACTTTACTCTACCTAATAAACTTGTTATTTATTATGAATGATCAAAATAAATATAAATTTATTCAGTGTATTTTTATGAGAAAAATTATTATTTAACATAATAAATGAGGTTAGTATATCAATAAATTATACGGTATTAATAATATGTAAAAAATGGTACATTAACATAAATATAAAGTATATATAATTGATAGCAACTTACTCGTGTGCAAAATATCATACGCAGCCGCTGTAAATAATTAAAATAAATAATAGTATATAAAATGGAAAGTTGATCTCTTTTTTTCGATTGAAACCATAGAAGTAGAAAATAATTTATACAAATTTAATAAACTATGAAATTTTCGAAGTAATTTTACCTTGTAATCTTTGATTTCGTATTCCCGTTGTGTCACACATATGAGTATAAAAATACAAAAGTATGAAAGCTAACAAATTGACAAATTTCGACTGTTTTAACATTTTATTCGTGTGTTATAATACAAAAATCAATTTTTATTTTTTTTTAAATTTATAAAAAGTTTGTTTAAACGTATATGAATATATTATTGTAAAAATCTCTAATTTATAACCTAAATATAAAATTGTTAATATTATAATTTATATTTATTATTATAATTTAACTATCTACCATATTTACATAGTTGAAACATGTGGTTTTATAGACTGATTATTTTTTTTATGTATGAAATTACTAAAAATATCTATGTTGAATTTAAAAATTTAATTGTAAAAATTCTTATTATACACTATTAATAATTAGTATTAACTACTACCGTAGTATAAGTTATCCCCGAAAAAAGAAAAAAAAACGCTAAGTATAACAGATAGCAAAATTATGATGAAATATGTAAAATTAATAAATTACGGAGAAAGAGTTAGTTAAAGAAAATTTTAAATTAAAAATTATGTATTAATAGATTAAATAATTTATGTACCAAACCATTTCAGAGTTTTATATAAATTATCTTATAAGTTAATGAATTCAGTAAATTGTAATACATGGCGACTGAATCTTTAGGGGGATGAGCGTGTAAACCCAATTACTTGTGCTCTTGTTTTATTAAAGGACTTGTGCTTATCAAAAAAAAAAATAATAACATTAACAATTTAATATTTTTAAGGATGTTTTATTTTATTTAACTTCTACTTTAAAATTTGTCAGTCAAAAATATAAATGCAGAGATAAACTATTACGTATGATTTTGTTTTCAAAACGGTTATATTATGACAATTCAGTATTATAGTGATACGCCTAAAGAATTTTCAACCCACTTGGGGCAAGTTTTAACGTCATTTCAACCAAAGTTTGTACAAATTATTTTTTACCTAATGGAATAATTTTAGGTGGTNTTTGTACAAATTATTTTTTACCTAATGGAATAATTTTAGGTGGTGTATTGAATTAATTTAAAAATTTCATTTTTAAGAACCTCCCAACTAAACACATATAATCTTACAAAATGCTGTTAGAGAAAATACAGTACGACAAGCAATCGGCACCATTCAAACGCGTAACATCTAATTAATATTGTTTCAACTTATTATTACTATTTATTTTTGAATTTAACAATTATAATTCTTATGATTTTTATGAAGTGTCGTCGGCTCTCTAATAGACACGCTCGTTACATAGGTCATGTATTATTATTTTGCTTTATTATTAATAAACCTTGTTTTTTGATTGCATACAACACTTGGTTGTGTATTAGACAAGTTTAAGGAAGATATAGTCAAGTAAGCTATCCTGTTGTGTCTAATTTGGATTACTGTTGATGAGCATTTAGGACTTGTATCTAAATAGCATCATATTTTTTAAATGCTTTTTTTTTCTTTACTCGCTATAATTCACTTAACTTCTTCATTCTAGCACAACGTGTCTTTGTTTGCTGGCATTCTACTCTTACGGCTTACCGACTATTTTTTTTTATGGTATTCTTTACACAAATAGATATCCTATTCCACACATCATTGATATGTCCCTTGACATTCCACGCAATTCTTTCTATCACCTTCTCTAAGAACTTTTTTCTCCTTTTAATTTCCACAATCTAATTGTCACCTCTCTTCCTGTGTTCTTTCTACTTTTGGAAAACATTTTTGAGGCGACTCAGGACTGCCATAATTGTTGTGCCCCCTGAGACATTGATCTCCCTGTCTACCCCTGCTCAAATAAATGTTTGATGTATCATAAAGTTTTTTAGTTTGTCTATTAAGTAATTAAAAAAAAGTGTGCCGAGTAGAAATATAAAAAAAAGGAAATCAACATAGTGACCCTTTTAGGTATGCTCCTGGTTTATTACGAGGTGTAGAATTCTTAGTATATGAAATAGTCAACTTGTCATGAGCAATTTGTTTTATATATTTATATGAATTGTATACACATATAATCTGAATTATATGTATTTATAAATTTTATTCTATCCACTTTAAAGTGTACCAAGTTAATGCAAGTTAGTTCAAAATCAATTCTTTGTCGTAGAATTAATACAAATTTTTATTTATTTAATTTCTTCAAAAAATATTATCTAAAAAAATCATTATTTAATCGAAAATAGAGGACATTATTATTTTAAGTATAAATACTTAATAAATAACACTATATATAGTATGATTTTTTTATCATTATTACTTAGTAATAAAAAAATAAATATAATATATTAAGAATATATTTTTAGTATCTTTTAGTGTTATACATTCCTTTCATTACGATTTATAATCTACTAAACAATAAACTATCATATCATTATTAACTATGTCATATTGTTACATATAAGTAACATCCTTATTATCATTTGTTAAACTATAAACTATATTTTATGTTTGATTGGGTTTTAATACTAAACAGTGTTAATTTTAATTTTTCAAATTTTAATATACATATTTAAATAACTTATTTATTAGATGAAATTATTACTATACTGATAACAATTTCTGGATTAATATTTCGGAAAAAATTAACATGCTTTTACCTAGGCAGGAGAATAGTCAAATCAAAGATATAATAAATATTTACTTGAATTTTATTGAATATTATTTAACACATTTTTTTTTTTTAATTTAATAATGTATTCTAAAAATGTTACAATTTATATTCTAAATTTTCATTAAAAAATTAATTTATGGAAATTTTACTTCAAAAAACATACATTTTAAAATATTTATTGATTTTTAAAAATTGTTGATTAATCACTGTATTTCATACAAATATATACAAAATAAATCTTATTAAACATATTCTAGAATATTTTGACTGATTTAATAATTCATTTCTAATAACAGTTTTCAAAACATAAATATTGATATGTCATTATGCACTTCAAAAATTCTGAAAGAAAAAAATTGAATTAAAAAATGTTCTGTGTTTAAACGTTATTCAGTATTATAAGGAATGAAAGAAAAAAAAACTAATTACTAAAAAACTTATAATTACGTTCATAGGTAATAGTTTCATTGTCATATCTATGACTAGCATCATCAAAATAACTATTTATGAAATCGTCTGACAATTGAATACCTAAGTATTTTTTCCAAAAATTACGAAAATCTTCTTTATCAATAACTTTTTTTTCGTCTATGATTTTTTGGAAATCAAGTTTTATTTCTATTAAAGTTAGAAAATCTTCTTGTGACATATGTTCTGAGTCTAAAAATTAATATAATAAAAGTATTTTTTAATTTTATTAAAATTAAATTTATAGTAGTTTTAGGCTTGAACATTCAACATTATTGAAATAAGGCTGTAAATTGATATTATAAATAAAATATCAATTCAATCACATTAAATAATGTTTTACATAAGCTACAATTTTGTTGGCATTAAAGAATCCATTCCAAAAATAAAAGTTTATTTACGCTTTAATTAAAAAAATATTGTACTATCATTATTATGATTATTACATTTATTTTATCTAAATAAATAAGAATAAGAAATTTTTCTTATTTTTTACCAATCAACAATAAATGCAAAAATAATTTAAAATATCAACATCTTCAATTATTTTGAAAATTTTCCTANTATTTTATCTAAATAAATAAGAATAAGAAAATTTTCTTATTTTTTACCAATCAACAATAAATGCAAAAATAATTTAAAATATCAACATCTTCAATTATTTTGAAAATTTTCCTAGATAAAATATAGTTTTTAGTTGCAATACAAAGCCAAAATGGTATGAATANTAGATAAAATATAGTTTTTAGTTGCAATACAAAGCCAAAATGGTATGAATAATAAACTTTATTTTATAAATGCCTAACATAAATAAATAAAAGACAAAAAAGATCGCTTTGACTAAAAAAATTGTTTAAAAAAATGGCCCGCAGAAAATGTTTTTGGTTTAGGCTTTGGAACATCTTTGCCGGAACTGAAACATATATATTTATATGCTTAAAATTAAAATGCATTATTATATTTAATAATTAATTTTGTTTTTAAACTTATCGGAGTTCTCTAAACAAACATTTTTAAAGATAATTACCATATCCAAACAATTCAACAGCTGTAGTCAATTCATCATTAGTATATGGTAATTCAAATTGATTCATGATTATACTTAATTTGTCTTTATTAATTCTGTCGAAATGGTCTTTTTCTTTTTCAAAAGCGACCTTGTACTTTTCCAATCCATTTTCAATTGATTGTATATTGTTCTATACATTTAATTAATAATTATCAAGTAGAATTTAATTAATGATAAATAAATAAATGTTATCAATTATTATTATTTACACTTATCTAATAATATAACCTTAATTAGAAAAATGAAAATTTAATTTAATAAATTATAGTTGATTAATTAATTAATTAAATAACTAATTGAAGGAATTTCTATGAGTTACTTCTTTTAACATTTCTGAAGTTGTGTAATACGTCAAATGAACTCGGTTTTTTTTCTACTAAAATACATGCTATAAAACATTGAGGATACTAAACAATTTTCTGTTTATTTAACCACATTAAAAATTGTAAGCCTAAAAGTATTGACGCTTTTTAGTTGAACTACTTTTACATGAAACAATATTATAATAAAATTAAATATTTAAAAATCAAGTTGTAGTATAATTTTTATATAAAATATATACAGAGTGGAATAGGTTTCAACTCTTATTACTTTTGATACAATGATCATTTTGCTGTTATTATTTTAAATTAATTTATGCATTCTTAGATAAAATCATATTTTTTTAATTTAATTTTTATTAATAAAATTTGTTATTAGCTTCGATACAACGCTACGAAGTAATTGGTATTACCACAATGTGTTTTATTGTTTTGCCTCTGTCCTCTGTCACAACTCTTACTCGACCTTAGTAATCTATATTTTTAATATACCCTAATTTAATCTAATTATATTAATTGACACCAAAAATTCGAGAGAACACCCTCAATTTTAGAATAATAAAAAAATTCAAAATAACGCCAACTTAAAAATTGGCATTTTCAAATAATTTTCTATATATTTTTTTTATCCTGATCCCAATAAAATTTAAATGAAGTATATTTTAGATAATAAGCTCTTTATTGGGTTTTTTTTAGAAAAATCTAATTAAAAACATTTTTTANTTTTTTTTAGAAAAATCTAATTAAAAACATTTTTTAACTCAATTCTTGAAAATGTTTCGGAATGTCTAATAATTTTTAACTTATATCAAATTAAAGATCATGAAATGTACTGCAATATTAAAAACAATTTTGTTCCCTAAATAATTATTTAATTAAAAGCTTTTTAATAGGTTTATTAAGTTTGTAGCGCGGGTGGAGTACGCATTATAAATATATACCATTAGCAGTTACACTCTCCCGTGCTACAAACCCGCTCAATGTAATAATCTGTTTGCATCTCAATAATTATTGCCCTAAATTTTTTATTCATATTTTTTCCACAAAAAGCTCGAAAAAATCAAAATACATTTAAAAAAAAATTGTTTAATCATTATTAAAAATAAGAAATAAAAAATATCGTTTTAATAGTCTAAGAATGCAAAAAATGTACTAAAAAAGTTACAGGAAAAAGGTTATTACATTAAAAGTTATGATAGATGTCCATAAGATCTGTTTCACTTAAAATTCCGTAAATATAAAATAATAATATTTTTATAAAATTATAGGATTATAATTTAATAAATTTACCTGTGCATATAATATAGGCATAAATAAATATGCTGTATAAACTGCTAATATAAATTGAAATTTCATTTTGCTTTAGATTTACTTGGATTTACTTTGGATTAACTAATGTATAAAATCCAAATTAAACGTAAAATGAATTATATTACTTCAAAAATATATGTACTTATGTACAATATATATATATATAGTACAATATATTAGATTAATAGTATTCATTTTTTTATCTTGTTTACTTTAAACGTTTTAATAAAAATATGTATTTGAAGAGTGATCAAATGTTTGAATCACTTTACTTGATTTATGAATTTTATGATTTTTATAATTAAAAATAGGCTATATGAGTGATGACATAGTGTATCTTTTACTAGTTGTTTTATTTCTCACGTATCAATATAATTTTTAAGTAAAAATTAATAATATTTCTTATTTTAAAACTAAAATAATATAAACTAAAATATTACATATATCAATGTGGTATATGGGCCCTTAATACTAATGCAACAATGCGTCAAATAAAACAAATAATAAGATAAAAATAAGACAAAACAATATAATTAATAACTACTTATCTATACTGATGATGACTGGTTGATGCGAATGAAATCGTTGGTATGATCATTGAACCAGACAAAATGTCCTGTCGCGAATAGTATGAGCGTATCGCTATATTATGAGTATAAGTGTATGAGCGTATCGCAAGGGCGATAAACAATAACGCACAAAGGTGCGACAATCGCAAGGGCGATATATAAGCTTTTTTAACAGCTACGTGCTCGCATGCACCATAGAGCCATACAACAAAACGAACTAGGATGGCAGCGAAAACGCAAAAAAAAATGTCACACAAGGACCGATAATAACTAGGCGAGTCATTAGAATCACGCACGTAAGCATCCAATATATAGAAAAATATATATCGGAGCCCCTAAGTTGACGAGTCAAAGTGATGTTTTGAAATTAAATGATATAAGTTAAATCTTTTACGATTTGATCAAAGACCATACTACATTATCTTAAACAGAATGATATTTATTATCGATTCCTTAATCTAATTTCATCAAAAACGTAGCATTCCTTAATTTCAAGAAATAATTTTCTTGTAACTTTGATCCAGCCTCATATTATAGTATTATAAATATTTTTCTTTGAAATCATTAAAGATTTCAGGAAATTACACAAATGCTTAACATAAGAATAAGTTCTTTAAAAATATCTATAATTAAATATTCTTAAAAAATGTATTTTATTTCATATTCAGTTTAGTATTAGAAATATTTATAAATAAATTATTTTTTCACAATTACAATTAATGACTTTCGATTTGATAAACAAATTATGAAAGTGCGTCATTACATACTTTTTAAAGCAAATCAATCTTAACATTTTTTTCTAACAAAACGAAATTAGTCTATCTAATTTAATGCTAAACTGATTCATAGAAAAAAGTTTTGAGTTAAAGTCTCCCCATTAATAATAAAATATTATCATATAGTACATAGAACTTTTATTAGCTTCGATGTGAAGCTAAGAAGGTATTAGTTTTATTATGTGTTTTTTTTTTTTGTATCTGTTACCACTTTTTCTCACCTCTCACCGAAACGATTTCTTTCAACGATACGTCAAAAGATCACAAATCGTATAGTCGAAGACATTACCCACAAAAATTGAAAAAAATTCTCTGGTTCATCGTAAATGAGGGAAATGGGTAAAACTTAATAATTTTTATAGTTGGGGAAACAAATTTTATTTTATGAAGTAGCTTAGTTGTAAAAAAAATAGAGTTATTAAAAACTTAAGTGTAATGTGTATGCATCAAACATATTTATAAGTATTCTATTTTTTTAGTCATATGAAAATTGAACTATGTCTTAATTGAAATATTGGTTAAAATTTGATCATTAATTTGTAGTTTTAACTCTAGCAATGATTTTAAATAAAATATTGCATGAGTCTAATTTGTATATAACAATAATTGTGAAATTACATAATTGGAGTATGGGAAATAGTGAAATATTTAGTAATTTAAATAAAAAATAACTTTATTTATAATAAAATAAGTACTTAGAATTTTTCTTACATTTGTCAATTTAAAGTTTTGTATACATTTTTAAAATAAAAGATTATTAGGCATAATCAAATAATAAATTTTCAACTCTGGACAAAAAATAATAAACCTAAAGTATGTATAGCTAGTTAAAAATTTGTATGGAGCANTTTTTTTTTTGTGTCTGTTACCACTTTTTCTCAGCTCTCACCGAACCGATTTCTTTCAATGATACGTCAAAAGATCACAAATCGTATAGTCGAAGACATTACCCTCAAAAATTGAAAAAAATTCCCTGGTTCATCGTAAATGGGGGAAATCTCCAAAAAAATTACAAATTTAAGAATCGCTAATTTTCGACATTTTTTCAATTTTCTTTATTCAAAAGTTCCATAATTTTTTAAAAGAAACGAAATCATTATATTTTTTTTTAACAGATACATTATGTCTTTATCTTTCATTTGGTTATATTTGTTTTATAAATCTGACCCTTTACCTGTCCATAGAGTACGATTTAAAATGAAAACTTTCTCACAAAAAATTAACTTTTTCAACTTTACTTTTGAAAGTGTTCTGGAAACTCAGACACTTCTATATATATCTTAAATTGTAGCTAATGTAATATAATTTATCATGGAAAAAAAAAATGACGGACTTTATTTTGTCTTCACGGTGAAAATGGCTACCGTATGCTATTTTTGTGTTAAAATTTTCGATTTTATATTTTACATTTTTTACTTTCAAATGCTATAACTTTTTAAAAAATGTATGGATCAATACAATTTTTTCATGAGAAGTAGTATTTATATCCCTCTTTCATTCAACATACTTTTTATTAAAATAACACCATTTCTCTTTATAAATTACATTTATAAATCATAAAACTTGTAATCAGGATATAAATAAGGAAATAGGACATCATGTAGCTCTTGGTTCAAAATAAAAACGTTTATAGAAAATAGAACTTTTTCGATTGATTTTTAATTAAAATATATTAATATATTAATTAATAACCTAATAGTCAAACATAAATATTTGTTATATTAATTAGAAAGATTTATTTAATATTTAGGCAATTCGAAACTCTAATTACAGATTTGAAATTGTCGCAAAAATGGGTTTAGAAAAGTATATTTTGATCTAGGATGAAAATTCCTTGTAGACCAGTAAATTTATTTAAAAATAATAAACAATTTTTTATTTTAAATTGCACCATGACTTTCAACTTTTATACGTTATAACTTTATACGTTTGCCATAAAAGTAATAACTACTTTATAATTTTTTATAATTTCTCCGTAAAAATTACAATACTAAATTATTAAATATCAACATATAAATTATAAAACTTGTATCAGTATATAAATTATGTAATAGAAGATCATGTTGCTTTCGGAATAATCCACTAATTTTTTAAAATGAAACATTATATACAGATTTGCATCGAAGCGTTTTTTGTGATAGTGATTTTAATCACTGACAGATTAAATATATACTGGACCCAACTATGCCACATCCCCACTGTGCTAGGTTTTGATATTAAATTTTGATATCAATTAGCATTTTCAACGAAAAAAGTATTTCAGCAAGAAAATTTCACTTACAAAAATATATAAAAGACATAAATCCTAGAAAATAATAGAGTACTCTATTTAGACTAGTGTTAGTTGGTAGTCCACTATAATAAAATCATCAATAAAAGCAAAATACTCAAAAAAATAATTATATTATTTCTCTAATTCATTTTTATATTATTTATGACTTAAATATAAATAATCGTGTTTTGTTTTATTCTATTTTATTAAAAATAAATATATTGTATAAAATTGTATGTTCTTGTTTCAATTTTAATTGCCGAAACAATAGAATTTGAATATTTAATATATTTTATTGTCATAAATTGTAAACCATGACATTCAAATTACTACATAAGACAAATGTTTACAATTATCACTTACTGTAATCTCTGCAAAAAAACAAGACTATATGTAAAAAACAATGTCTATTAAAAACACCGAGATACGCTTACTAAAATAAATTATCAAGAGACGCAAAAATAATTTATTAATTTTGATATGAATCTGAAAAAGTATAAATTTTATTATATGTTTTTTTTGTATATATTCAAAAAAACACTCAGCTCTCACTAGACAAACAATATTGATTAATACGTTAAAACACCCGAATTTTATCTTGTTGAAGACATAACCCTCAAAAATCTAAAAAACATATTCTGGAATTTTTTTTAAGGAAAATTTTTTTCAAAAACCTAGCCCACTGAACTTTTGGCATATTTGGGACAAGTATACATAATATATGACAAAAATAAAATCACTATCATAAAAACAAATTTTAGAAAATAAAGTAATAATAAATGTTTTTAACACTATACATTATAATAACGTTATAAAAATATAACGATACCCCTTTGTTATGTTAGTTATGTAATACTTTTTAAGTTTATCCCTTATGTCTCTTATAGGGGTATCAACTTTGTTTTTTCGCATGGGTATACATACTTTGAATTTAATTACATTTTTGAGGTTTTATTTCAATAGTAAATGACATTTGAATTTTTAATATAGCTTTGTTAGTTTATTAGATATAAAAGTTTCAATTTTTTAAGATAACATACATGTATAATTTATGAGGGATTATAAATACAAGTAGCTAATGGTTAGTAAAAACAATTGTTTTGACAGTTGTATACACAATAAATAGAAATTTTATTCAATTTATAACACATAATATTGCTCTCTATTTGATGGCTGATTCAATTCAAAATTTATTTTACGAAATACTTTAAAAACGTTAATGTTGCTAAAAACAAAATTTTAATACTATTCCTTAAATTTAAAACAATTTTAAAATTTTTAAAAATAATTCCCTAAGAAGTACAATCTGAGATGACCAGACATCTTTTTATAAAATTAAATAGACACGTTTTATTAAAACTTGTTTTTAGTGATACAAAACAATTTTTATAGTTTAAAAATCCGAATACTCCGCATTTCCATTGTACAAATTTATTGCATTGTATACTTATTCATCAGAAATTATAAATAGAATGTTTCAAAGTGTATAAAATTTTATTGAAAAATACGAACGGTCATGTTCAAATAATTATTGCTGACTTATTTTAAGAATTAACAAAATTTTACATCATAATTGTACAAATTCTCTTTCTTTTTTTAAATTTTTTTAAAAAATAGTAAAATAATTTTATGCTCAGAATTCAAAAGATGTAAAATAATGAAAAAAAGTGAAATCTTTACTTAATAATGATTTCACTTTAATATCAAAGCTTATGGATAATGTAATATATTGTCCAAAGTTTACAATACTCATTTGCACGTTAAGTAATGATTTTTTCATGAAAAATTAATTTTTATTAACAGTTTTTATTTTTTTTAATATCAAATAGAGTAAAAAAATGACCGGTCGATGATAACTACTTTATATTATTAATTTTTGACATATTAGCTCATTTTTTAGTCACTCCACTCATCCATCTAAGCATTCTCATCTCTGCTACACTCATTCTCTGCTCTACTTTCTTATTAGCCGCTCAACACTCTGAACCATACATCATAGCTGGTCTCACTACTGTCTTGTAGAATTTACCTTTCAGCCACATTGGAATTTTTTTATCGCATAAGACGCCTGACGCTTCTCTCCACTTCAACCACCTGCATTTAATTCTGTGTCTTACATCCTCGTCAATACTACTGCTCTTTTGCCTAACTCACTCTAAATACTTAAAACTCTCCACCTCTCCAATCATATCCTAGCCTATTAACACTGACCTCCTCATTTCAACTACCTCGTGTTCTCCTATGTCAAACTCGTACTCTATATACTCTATNAATTAATATTTTTAATAAAATATAAAAAAATTAATTATTGAGATATACCTATAGACCTAACGTATAACTATTATTTAAAAAACAAATCAACTAAAAATATTAACTGGATCAAAAGTTATTTAAGTTGTCAGTGAGTGGTGGGCCACCCTGTATACTCTGTTTTACTTCTACTTATTCTTAAACCCTTTTCTTCAAGAGCTGATCTCCACACCTCTAGCCTTTGATTAATTTCCTTCCTATGTTCTCCTATTAACACTATATCGTCAGCAAACAACATGCACCACGGCACCTCTCCTTGTATTTCTCTAGTAATTTCATCCATCACTATAGAGAATAAATAAGGGCTTAGAGCAGAACCTTGGTGAACTCCTACTCTTACCCAAAAACCTTCTGATACTCCTCCTACGCTTTTTACCCGAGTACAAGTGCCATCATATATATTTTCTATTATATTAATGTACCTTTTCGGGACTCCTTTTTTCATTAATGCCCACTTTAAAACCTCTCTCGTTACTCTTTCTATAAATACCATACACAGCTTTTTCTTCTTTTCCCTAAACTTTTTTGACAAAGATTTTTACGCCGGTTGTCGACCTGACACAACCTCATTAGTCGCCTCTTACGACTGGCAAAGGGGCCGTGGAAGTATTTTTATCCCCTATCCACAACGAAAAATATTCCCTGTGAATATTAAAATATTAAAAAAATATCAACTCAAAATATTTATATTATTACAAAACCAAAATAAAAAAAATAGTTTCTATAAAAGAAATGTATAACTTTCATTTGAAGTCCAAGAAAAAATAATGAAGTAGCGAAATAATAAATTGTCTGACTCAGCACCAAAAATGTAAGTGTAACAATACATTTAAAACACTTATTTGTGTTGAACTTTCTGCTTTTTAAAATTTGAATTCATAGTTTCTTCTACGTTTGTTCTTTTTAATATTGGGGTTTTGAAAGATCTATTACAATTTTGAGGTTTTGTATGAATAACTGTAGAAGACAATCCAGGTATTCCTTTTTTTATAACAATATTTGTTTTTTCAACGTGATGGTTAGGTGTTATAAAGGTTTTATCAATGTATTTAGATTTTTCATTTGACATTGGCATATTTGAAAAATTCTTAAGTGGCTGGTTTATTCTTTTAGAATCATCTGTTTTTTTATTAGGATTTTTTTGTTTAAAAATATTAAATGTTGTATCATCCTTTTTTCCAACTAAGTGTGAAGTTTGGGGATTTTCAACTTTTTTGTTAATTTTTAAGTTTTTAGAAATTGGTATTTTTGTTTTATCAACACTGTTTTGAAATGATGAATTTTTTATAACATTAATACTTGATTCATCATCGGATGTCAAATCAATAACTTCAGTGACAACTTGTTTACCAACATCTTTTAAAAATTTATATCTACTGAAACAGCTGAAAAAAACAATACTCTTAAAAAATATATATTATAAATTAGGGGGGGTTAATTAATAATTCAATTATTTTAAAACCGTTATATAAAAAAATTATTATTATAAAGGCTTATTTTTTATTATTATTATTATTTAACAAATTACTTGGTCATGGAATTATCCGTTTTGATTGAATTAATTTTATATAGATTATTTGTTCGTTTATTTCTATCATCGGGTATATCTTTCCCATCTTGTCGATAAATAAGCCATGATGGGTTAAACGTAATATAGTGATTCAAAAATGTTTCAAATTGTTTATCTTGAACTTCGATATCTTCTACTATTTTTTTATTAATTGTATTATCAAATTCTCTTTTTTCCGTTGCAAATGTTACACCATTGTACTTGAATTTAAACAATATTGTAGAGTAATCTGACCTTTGTCTTACTGTGCGATGAGGTCCTAAAAAAAATGGCAACGAACTCATCTCTTTATTATTATTATTACTTTTTATTTTGCGAAATTTGAATAAAAAATTAACTTAATTGTTTACACAAAATGATGTAACTAAAATATCAATAGCAGTAATTAATATCTGCAAATTACAGAAGCTTTTATATGAAAATAATGCCTATTATTTAAGCCAATATTTTATTAAATTAACAAAAATATTAGCCAATATTATAAAAAAAAATTCTAAATCATATAAAACTGAAATATAAACAAAAAAAATATATTTTTTAATAAAATTCTATTTGGTTCTAACAGTATACATATATGCATAAATGTTAATATATTTTACAGAAGAAAAATTATTAAAATTTAAACATTTTTTTGTCCTAACTATATTGCTGTTAATTTTTTGGGGGTTATATATTTCTGAAAAAAATACATGTAATTGCATTTTTTTAATGTGTGTAATTCTCAACATTTTGGGAAGGGCCCTTCAGTCCTGCTAGATTTCATGTATTACTAAAGGCATCTATTGTGAAATAATTATAATGTACTGATTAAGCATTATATTTTCTCTTGCTTATCATTGCAATTTTAGTAATATTGGTAACGATTCATATTATAAACTGTGAACGACCCCTGACTAAAATTGGCTAGTGAAAGGAACAGTAAGAAATATAAGAGAATGTAAGGGAAAAGTTGTTTTAATTACTTGTGCATTACTCATTTTATAAACTTTATTATATAGAATATAAGTTAAAATATAAGATATTTAACTTTTCTTTTTATTTGTTTTTAGTTCTTTTAGGTTCAGTATAAAGGTGTTAATGATTTTGTTTTACCATGATATGTTTTTTGATATTTGTCCATGGAAATTCTCAGCACTCATTAGACTGATTTTAATTATCAATATTTCTAAAAAATTCGAGTTTAATCTAATTGACTATATCACTGAAAATTGGAATAAAGAACCTCAATTTTAGGTATATAAAAAAATGTATCATAAATCGTTACCGTAAAAAATGGTATTTTCAAAATTGTTTTATGCATTTTAAAACTTTTATAATTTATAAAATTTTAGATGACTATTCTAGAAACAATAATCTTTCGTTTGGTATGCTTTGTATGATAATCCAATAAAAAAATCTAAATTCAAGTTTGAAGGAAACCTACGCATGTATAAAACTTTTTTTTCAACTCATTTTTTGAGATTATTTTAACTAATGTCAAATTAAACATTTAGATATGTATTATAATATTTAAAAAATCTCACGATTGTTCTACCATGAAAAATTGGCATTCAAAGTATAAATAATTACAATTTTTTCAAAAAAATATCTACTCTATTTAACCTATATTAAATTAACGATCTTAAATTTTACTACATTGTTTAAATTAAAAAATTGATTTCAACAATTGTTCTACTATAAAAAATGGTTATCGACATAAAAAATCGTGATTTAAAAAAACAAATTGAAATTTATTGTTCAGTAAATAATTTAACTAAACTTTAAAATTTAAATAAAATTTTAAAACAAAAATTGTGAAATACAAATATAGACATGATTGTAAAATGCAATAGATTCACAACGACGTGGTTTTTATGATAGTGAATTAATTACTGTCAGACATTATGTATAATTGTCACAACTATGCTATTGTGTGAGGTTTTTTTAAATAGAACCCTTTTATTTATATACATTTTTAACAACAATATTTCAAATATATTTAAATAAAATTATTTTATAGACTTCGTATAATGCAAACTGAAAAGATATGTAAAAGTGAATCATAAGAACAAATTAGTAAAATTATTATTATTTTTATAATTTATTAAAAAAACACGCGCAATATTACAACACGTCATAATCTACAAAACATTACTTGTATGATTGACCACTTTATAAAAAAATAAATAAATGTAATATTGAAAATGTTTTTTGTATTGTATTTTTCTCAATTTATCAATCTACATTAATTTCACTCTAAATTCATAAAAGTCGTGTAAAATATGTAGATTTTGAGATATTAACTATTGGCTATTAGCTATTCTGGTATAATCGCTTTGCCCGGACTTCCATTATATAATAAAGGTGTCAATTTTAATCTTTAAATGCTAATATACATATTTAACTCTTTTATTAGGTAATAATCGAATTGAGAAAAATTATTAGTATATAATATCTTTTGGACCAGTATTTCGGAAATTATTAACATTTTTATACCTAAAAAAGATTAGAGGTGTAGTTTGGAAGCGTATAATTTAAAAAATAACAAAACCTGTACCTCACTTCCTGTCATTACTTTCAATTTTCAATAACTTCCAAAATATAAATATGATTATATTATGTATATAGAGAAAACATATCAAAAAAATATATCCTAATGAAGACATTTTTATTATTATTTGTAAATAGCTCTAATTAACATACAAAATTTTCATTGTATTTGTAAATCCTATGCCTTGTTTATTTCCACACATTAACAGAATTAGATCTCCATTTTTTAGTATACCCTTTTTCTTACCAAAATTTATAGCGAAATTAGTACGAATTTCGATGTCAGTAGACCAATTTGTTTCATTGGAACCTGAAAAAAAAATAGTTATAGTTAAATACGTATACGAATAGAATATTTTTATAACAAAATAAAACAAAATTTAAATACTATGTAAAAATTCACAAATAACAGAACATTTAAATTTTTTATTCCTCAAACAGTTTATCTTCTTACTTAGATAACGAATTATAGTTAGATTGCGCCATACTGACAATTTTCTAGATGCTTTACTTAGCTTAGTGATAGCTATAATAGGACATCTTGGGCGATATCGTGCAATATTCCTTGCTGATAAGCCAGAAGTTGAAATAACAATAATTGCTGTAGCATTACATTTCAGTGATACTTCAACACACCCTATACTAATTGCCTGGGCTGGATCAATTTTCGGTTTTGACTGTATTTCAAAACAAAATTTTGTCATATCTGATAGATAGCAATAAGTTTTAAGAAAAAGTCAATAAATATGAATATTACCTTGTGATTAAGCTCATTAAATAGATGTTGTTCCCAAATAGCGGATTCTCCTTGACGGCAAATAAATGATAAATAATGTAAACAGAATACTTGATAATTTGTACGAAGAGTGACATCTAAATAAATAGCATCGGTTCCATCGAGTACAGTATTGATAACATTATTCACTTCGGCATTAGAAGGTATCGTAGTAAATTCCATTGAAGACAAAAAAGCGCCATGCGTTACAGCAGCTTTTCCCATCTATACTCAAAACATACTACTATAAATTTTAGTTAATTAACTCTAAATTAAAGGTAAACAAAATTTTTGAAATACTGTCATATATTCGAATAATATTTTTCAAGATATTAAATGTTTAAAGCTATTTATTTTTTGTTAACAAATATGTCAGACCATTCTTGAAAATGTCTTACAAATGTTTTCCTTTAGCAGGATATATCTAATACACATTTTAAAAACATACTTTAGTATTTTATTTTCAAATTTAACCCTCAAAATTTGATAATAAAAATTTTTAATTAAAATTTTAAATTATGTTTACAAATAACTTTATAAAAAAAAAAAAAATTTTTATAAACATTTTAATATTTTGAATATTTTTTAAGGCAATCGCTCTAATAATAATTTCTGGTCACACTGCAAATAATTTTTTTAACGTTACTATATTGCACTTGGATAATATTATTTTTTGAGCAATGAATATTTTTTCATGTCCAATTTCCATGGACAAATTTGGTAGGTCTAAAAAAATGCCATCGGCGTTTGGTATAATTTCATTGATGTTATCAAATCCTACACTATTATCAATTTTGGCGTAAAGATCAATGTCCTGTCCTTTTTCACAGCCTAGGTAGAAAATAAAAAACAATTAACGTAATATGTAATAGTCTTATCAAATAAATATGTGCAAATAGGGCACTATTGCTCACGGACAAAATCTTTAACTCTATTGATAAAAGCAGCATTTCTAACACCTGGAATCAATATCACGTCAACTTTTTGTCGAATACCTATTCTTATGCGATTTTCGTCTTCCTCAGTTAATAGCGTTGGAATAGGAATTCCTGGAATAAGCACAACTCTTTTAGAACCAATAAGTCCACCTCGTTTGATTTTACATTGTAACTCCTCAGTCTCTAGAAAAAAATTCAGTATTAGTTCAAATGGTAACATCAAATATTTCACCCAACCACCCCGACCTCACCCACTTTGGTCACAATCAATTCAATCTTTCCATAGTCTAAAAATATAGGATCATTTTCCTTGATTTGTTTAATATCAGTGTTTATATAAATACGTTCAGGAGTGCATTTATCTTTATATTCCTCATCGTTTGTAATATACACATAGTTGTTGGTCGGTAGCTCTAATGTCGTCTGATTTACCTTAATATCATACACAAAAATTGTTAGTGACCAAAATTAATAGTTCAAATAATTCATTTATTAATATTTCAAAATATTTCATTTATTAATAATTCAAAAATCGGTTTGTGTTACTTTTGTCCTAATTATAGATCCCGTAATTATTTGATTCCCTTCCAGATTAAGTACAATTGCTAAAGAATACGGTATTTGATTATTTTTGACGCTGTACTTAAAAACACCCTGGCGAATTTCGTAGATCATTTTTTGACATTCTTCATTAGATAATTCATTGAATCCTACCATTACCATTGAAACTCCTTTTTCACAGAATTGTGAAATCAAATCCTGAGTAATGTTGGGTGCTAGATAAATATTCAACCAAATTTTAAAAAGAACTGCATTTATAGGAATTAATTTATCAGTTTAGAAAGAGTCAAAGCAATTTTTTTTTCCATTAGGACAATTTTGAAGATATTATAAGTTGAGATTGTTCTATTATTATAGTGCTACAACCTTTATAACATTTTATCAATTAAATCATTCATCAAATGTTCATAGTTTAACTTTTTCTTTTTAAGAAACGTCTGATTTTAATAAATTTAAGTATAAAAGAATTAATTTCGGAGCATTTATTCATCTAGCGTCAACAATTTAAAATATTACAAAATATTAAATGAGTATAAATAAAGGAAAACAAGGGAATGGTGCGTACGGAGTAATGACGCGCATCTTAATATCTCGCCATGAACCAGTATTTTTTAGGCTTAGGTTATAAGAAACAAAAATAATCATTTGACACAGTTTATAATGTGCACACAATTTAACAACAGTATTACCATTAATTTATTATAAACAAACAAAAAAATAAGGAAAATGATATTTTCTGAAAAAAATATTTTAACTGATATTCTATCTGTATCACAAATGATTGCAAAGAAGTTAGTAACTAAATAAATTTAGGTTTGAATACTTTTAAAATTAAAAAAAGCTAACAATAAGGATTTTTCTTATATGCGTGCTATCCCCACAAGTTGTTCAATAATCCTGTAATTTTTATAAATTATCATTGATTATCAACAAATATTTGACACATGTTTAACTTACGAACAGCACAGGCCAACGTAGTTAGAGTATGAGTATGCGAAGAATTCAAATTTAAGTTTAAATTACTCATGTGATCCAGATAATTACTTTCAAATACAGACTTTATTTGCATGTTTTCATTATCACAATAAGGCTAAATAATAATTTTGTTAAAAATTGTATGTCAATTAATTTTATTTATGTAATTATAAACTGACCGTGAAAATTTTAGCATGTTCTCGAACACTTAATTTTTCTGTATTAATCATTTTTAACCCGTTATTTGTGTATGAGAACAATTAAAAGTATTTCATAAATGATAAATCAAAAAAAATTTTCTTGAATATTTTCAAAAATAAATTGAACTCGTTTCTTAGTAATAATTTCCTTAAAAAAACAATAATTTATTTTTTTATCATTAAAATAGTGGTTTGAAATATGTTTTATAATAATACATAGTAATAATTAGGGACACTTAACAGCTTATTCAATTATGTAAAATAGTTAAGAACAGGAGTANTAAAAATAAAGTGTTTTTATTCAAAGTTTAAAATATCGTAAGCTACCGATCAATAGTTTTTTTTATTTTCAAGTTTAATTTTGTTTTCTAATATTGAAAAATAGTATTAAATTATCTCTTTTAATAATCGTGTAGCTATCAATTGTTGCGATATTAACACTGTTAATAGATGTACGCATTTGTAATCATTCTTATATTTTGGATATGCATATATCCGTAGGAACATTTTTCTATCAACTCCAAAATATAACTATATTTTTATTTTCATCATAGGAGGATTCTATTTCTTATATTTTCTTCTGCGAGAATGTCCATATTCTGCATATTACACACAAAATATGATAAAAAAAATGGAAATATATTTTCAGCTGATTACTCTCATTAATAATTACATATCGTTTATTATACAAATCGAAATACCAGAAAATTCAAATATAATTTTGAAATGACTTTACTGTGCAAACTTACATCATAATTTATGTATATTATATTTCCTTATGATTAAATAGTAATTTATCAAAATAAAATGTTTATAAATAAAATCGGTATGATGATCAAAATTTAATAAGTTTTTGTTTCAATTTTACTTTATTGCGAAAAACTTAGCAATTTAATTAATTCTTTGCTATATATATATAAGAATATATAACTGTATTCGAAGTATTTATTTGAAATTGTATAGAAATTAAATTATTTTCTAAAAAAATATTTTTATTTTATTTATAGCTGGTATTTAAAAAAAAATTAATCTACTTCATAATAAAGTAAAATTAAAACTATATTAATAATATTTTTAATATAGTTTTAATTTTACTTAATTAACTAGCCACAAGTGATCAATTTTTATTATAAATAAATATAGTATATTATAAAAAATTAATACCAATATATTAAGCATTTTTTTTAAGTCGGGGGGTGTCTAGACATGGAGGACACCCCCCAAAATACGCCACTGAACAGAAAAAATGTAATTTTTGAACATACAGTTTAATAGAATATTTATATTTATAGATTTTTGTCAACAAACGGCTTACTTACCGTCTGTCGGATATAATATGAAGGTTTACCTTAGATCTGATGGTATTTCAAATCTATAAACCGGTATTCGGTATTAACTTGAATACCGATTTTAATATACCGAACATTTCGGTATATGCGGTAAATACCATTTGTTTGGTAATTATCGATAGTTATAATTTAATTTATATTTATGTTGATCAGTTATTACTGTTAATTTCATATAATTTTATGATCATCGTGTCGTTTTACAATTATGTTTTTACCAGTTTTTAACGAATGACTATCAAGAATTTTAAAAAAAGTCTGGTGTTTTGGTTAAATTATTCAGAAACACACGTTATATAACTTATTACAATAATTAAATGATAATCTACAAATGAATACATTAAATCAATTAGAATATAAAAATACAAAAAATATCGGTAAAAGATTAATATTTACACTCGGGAAACACCATTAACACCTAATTTCGGTTTTATCATTATTTCGATTATCATCAAAAATACCAAAAAAAGTTAATAATAAGTACANTCTCAATTTTAAATGATTACACAAAGATAGCCATTTTTCGTATGTATTAAAACTAAACATGAAAATTTTTTTAATTATATTACAAATTATATGACGGAAGTCCGATACTTATCAAGATTTCTGAGTGAATCTGGTTTGAGAGATATATTTTTAGAATCTTTGGTCATTTTTAACAATTCTTCATCATTTTCTATGGCTTGCTTCTTATTTTTTAGATCTTCTTCGACAATGATGCGTAAATTTTCTAACTTGTTAATTTGCTCCCATGCATTTTGACATATTTCAGTTAAATTTCTTTTTAAAGATTCCAATATATGCTGTTCCTAAAAAATGTTAACATTTGTTTCCTCTTAAATAAACGCACTACGACTAAATACACTTTTCAATTCAATGTCAGCAATATCATAACATAAATCGGCACCTCCTCTTTCATCTCTTATGCTTAAACAATGATTTGTAACACTAAAGTTTAAATTTAAAAACTCCAGTGTTTTTTCCCCGAGTGATTTCTCATTTTTCATATCATCTATTTCTTTTAACAACTTTTTATGTAATTTTTCAATTAAATCTCTCCATTTTATTATTTCTTTTTGTCTAAAAAAGCAAAAAACATTTTTACTTAGGTCTTAATTTTACTTTAAAATTCTTACCTATTTATAATTGATGAATTGGTATGATTTGTATGCCATGTTGTTGTTATATTAGCGTTGTTTCTTAACTTATATGAATCGTTTTGCAGTTGGAAGGCATTACGTCTCAACGTATCACAATTTTCCTTAATCTCAGTAACTTTATAGTACCAATTCGAACCAGAAACTTTTGGAACAGGTTTTTCAAAAGTAACTATTGACATTTTATCAAATCTGATATAAATGTTTATTTTTTAAATAGTATGACTTTTAAAATTTCAATCTTTCTAATTTTTAATAATCCTAATACTAAAAAAAAATTATTATTATTTCCGTCAAATATTTATAAAATTACATTTATAACTAGTCGCTATAACAACTGTAAATACTTAAATTTTTTTCAATTATTAAAAATTTCAACTATAACAAATTTTTTATGGAAATAATATACAAGATCATGTTTAGACATAGATGAAGTTTAGCTCCCATACGATTTTTATTTTTTAGCAACGTGGGCTTTTAGATTCCCCGGTTTACCAGTGTCGCAAAAGCATCCTTAGACTGATCACGGCCAACGCGTACGTCTCTCTGTTATGCCTTTGACCAAGAACCCATCCGGGTTCAAGGCCGCAGGACTGCTGAAGTCTCCAACCTGTTCAACCAGAAGCCTGGAATAGGGATATGGAGATGCAGCTTTAGGGGCAAACTCGAACAGATAACAAGTTTATCCGTTTGGTATACATTAAAATGTTATAACTTTCTAACTGTTTTTAACCAATATTTCATGTTTGCGTATTCGTAATCAGTATAAAAAAAACCACCAAATCATATGGAAATTAATTTGTATTTACTACCGTGTTTGTATTTCTTATAGTCCTGTAGAAAATTATCTCCCTAAATATTACAAATTTAATTTAATTAGATATGTTAAATATGTAACAAAAGTTCAATAACAGAATCGGAATGTTAAATATGATTACATAGTATTCATAGTCAGTACACATCACTGAACTAAATATCCTTTAATACCTATAACAATACACAACTGAAAATATACGAACTTGTTTAATATAAAAATCGTAAAACTTATGAACGTTGAATGAAAAAATAGCTTTTAACCCGTTATAACTTGATTGATTTATAATAAAAAAAGTAAAAATCAATAATATACAAAACACTCAATTTAAAAGTATACGACAGCACATACAAAGTAATTGCTTTTGAAAACTTATGTGAAAATATTAACATTGTCAAATTTGATCTTGTTTTTAAAACGGTCCATTTGGCTAATTGAATAATGTTTTGATTATAACACTGTCCGTAATATTGATTGCCCAAGACAAAACGTTTTTTACCTTATTTGGTTGTAAACACAAGACACAACGGGAATGAGCACCTGAAGCGACGATAATTAAACTAGATGAAAACAGCGATAAGCGTACGGCAGTGACTGGGTCAAGGCGTTGATCGCTATCCGACCGCCTGTTTTGGATATCGCAGTTTTATAACACGGTGACGGTGCACATGATTCTGACTGATGACGACGACCGACAACGACCATCGTCACGGCCAAAACCGTACACATTATTTTTAGCATTAGTACACTTAGTCGCACGACGTTAGTCCCTTTTCTCGTTCAGTTTCTTCTCAAAACATTCAACGAAACGACCGCACTTATTACATTAAAGGACATTTTTATCACTTCGGTTTAATTCAAGTGCCGAATACATCTTGCGGTTGATCGTTAATTATTGTACTGATATATCAATCTAAGTAACAGTAAAAAACAGTGTTGCAGTAATCTTTCAAAGGTTCGCGATTGGTTTGAGTAGTTATTAGGTGTGTTTTTAAACATTTAATCAAACGTTTTTTCCTTCTTGAAAGAAAGATTTCTTAAGCCCAAAGATTTTTTGGTGTTCAAAATTAGAATCATTTATCGGAGAAAAATTATATAAAGCAGGTAATTTTTTTTATTTTACTTACAACTAGATTACGGAAAACAACGTGCATTCGAATGCACTGATGATGTAATGACCCTGTAAATGCATTAGAACGTTTCTATTTTTCACTTTTCTATTTCTTATCTTTAGTTTTTCCATATAACAAAAAAATACCCAGTATGTTTATGTAAAATAAATTTTAAAATAACGGTCAACTTTAATGGATTATTTATTGGACTATTTTTGAGCACGCTTATTTTAAATATTTAGTTCATTCAATATTCGTTAATACAAATTGGTCTGTATTTTAAAAGATATTTCAAAAGATTCTAAATTTCAAGTGCAAATTGTAAACCGCCGTGTAATATCAGTAAATATATACTGAATATCATCAACACGATATTTTTAAAACATATTTAAATCTTTATTTATTTTTTTTTTGAGAATTTAAGCTACTTTACCCTTTAATAATTTAACTCATTAGTTATTTCACTGATAGCAAAATTTGCTACTGGGAATTTCTTAAAAATAATTAATTAATTATTTCTCATTATTTCACATAATTATACAGTGCTATTATAAGTGTAACTACTATCTGAATTTAATAAGTTATTTAAATGCGTGTTTGCCTATTAGTTATTAGATAATGATTAACACTTTATTTCATTTAATGAATCCTCAAATTTTTTTTTTTTTTGTAGAGTAACTTAAACAGAATGACGCGCATTTTTTTAATACGTTTTTAAAGAGAACGAAAAAGTTTTAAGCTAATAAGAATTTACTTTTTCTTATTTGAAAAATTATTGACAATTTAATTTACCAGCTACAGTTTGATTTTTGCTAACTTAGTATCAATAATAGAACATGATTATAAGTAATTATACATGTGACTTTCTCTTACCCTATGATTGAGGCAAAAAGCGTATCTAATGGGGTAAATTAGCGCTTATTTAATAAACTTATAAATATGTATATTAATTAAAAGAATAGATATTAACATTACTTCATAATAATTTAAACATTATCTTTTGTTTCTAAACAATAACTATTTAACTAGGTAACTGAAATTAGTTTATGTAATATACGTATATGAAAATAAAAAAAAGTGGAAAGCCAAACAAGCTGTTAAAAAGTATAATTTACTACTTTTGTATTAACCAAATATCAAAACCAAAATAATGAATTTTATACTTTATCTCATTTTGGCTCTAAAACTTCATCGAAATATTTTGTTATGATATTTAGTTAAAGGAACGCTTACGATATACAAAATATATTGACTAGAAATTAAATATTAAACGATAGTTCATTTTGTCCCTCTCGCTATTATTACTGAAGTTACTTTAAACACAAAATATGTCGTGTTTGAATTACATGCCGTATTTATACATTTTTTTTACTAAACAATACTGCAACGATGCCCCAACCTCCATATTGGCCAGACATGACTCCGTATGACTTTTTTCTATTTCCAAAAATAAAAAGAACTTTAAAGGGCCGTTGTTTTACAAGCATAGATGACATTAAAAGCGCATCGCTGCATGAGCTGAAGGCTATCCCAAAGATCAAGTTTGAGAAGTGTTTTGAGGATTGGAAGAAGCGTTGGCACGAGTGCATAATATCAAATGGGAACTTTTTTCAGTGCGACAACATTAATGTAGGCGAATAAATAAATATTTTTGTCGAAAAACGAAAATTGCCGATATTTTCTGATTACACCTCGTTTATAACTTATATCACTTGTTCATGAATATTATTTTTAATAGCACGCTAAGTGTACTCATATTTGTTAAAAAACTAATATTATATTATTGTATTTAACTTTATGAATTTCTTATAATTAAACGCAATACTAAATATCAAGTGCCTATATAAAACTTTATGATTGACAGTGATATCTAATTTAAAAATTCAATTAAATAACACAACAGTAATTACGTGTATACATTTATTACGCGGCTTTAAAACCACGTGAATGTCTTACCGATTTGCATAATATGATGTTCAATTGTAGAACGTACATTTTCAAATGTAAACATTAAAACCCACACTCTCGTTTGTTTAACAGTGACACAAATTAACATATTAACACTTTGTCGCTAAATGCACTTGCCAGGTGTACATACAGAGTACTTGTAATTCATGTTTTCGATAGCATAAGTATTTTATTTTTGAAATTGTATCACGGATATAAAGTCATCGGAAACAATCGTCTAATGATCCGTTAAAGGAAATAGATTAGCCGGTCCTAATCCTTGCCGTACACGGTAATGCATTTATTTAATAATCCATATCGAGTGCCATACTCAACAGCTACAATAATTATCATTACATCATCTTCAACTGTGTTCCCATATAAGGCGCTAATATACTTCCCAAGAATTATACCACTCAATAGATTTTTACAAATATGGTTACATATTCGCCAGCCAATGGCATTACTATACTCAAACGGCATAAATTATGTGCACAAATCAAGGGAACTTATGTGTAACGCATCAAATTAACTACGACATATTACTCATAATAAACACTTCGCATGGTCACTAGATTGCAATCGAGGTAATTCGGCGAATCAACAATATTGCAGAAATATGAAACTGAAACACAATATCTTACAACAAAATATGTGTACATAACAAGTGTTTATAATTGAGAAATACACGCACAAAATTAAAATTAGTTAACATTTTTAATACATAGATATATTTATCAAATTTTTTTTTTTAGAGTTAAATTAATTTTTTAAATACTGTAAATAATTTATTACAATTATTTTGATTTTAATCATGACAAATTTGGGGGATTGTCTATCTCAAAATCTCCACTTACTATTATAGTACTTAAACGCTAAATAAAAAACACATATTTTAAAATTATGAAGTTGTACAACCAAAGATATAATAATATGTGTTATAATAATTATTATAATAAATTTTTAAACTTATTAATAAGTTTATATATTAAACTAACGTCGTTACTGCTCCAATCTAGGTCCTCATTTTAATCATAAATTGAAATCGAACAAATAAAAAAAAATGTTAAGCATTTCACAACAGAAACCTATTTAGGGAGGCATGTTAAATTTGACTTGGTCGGATTTTGATGCCGACGTTTTAGTATTCGGCATCCCTTCCCAAAAATGCTATATAATAACTAAGCTTTTAATTGACAAATAATTGTTTTTCTTTTTTAAGGAATAGATGAACACCTCTTGAAACAATGATGAATTATATCTCGTTTTAAAAATTAATTTATTGTAAGATATCAATAGTGGTGTATTCTTAAGAAATGTTATACATTTAAGCAATGAATATCATTTGATATTTTGTCTACTAGATAAAACTTAGAGATTCATGGAATATTTTTAATGATTTATCAGAAGATAAAATAGAATGACCCGAAATATCGACTTGATTAATTATTAGAATGACCAGAAATTTGGCAACTAATATGAAAATAAAATTTTTTTTTTAATTATTAGAGGGGAATTATATTTTAGAAAAGTTAGGATTATGTCGATTAATAATAAAAAAAATTGAATCCTAAGTTTTAAATCATAAGTTTTTGACACATAATTTTTGTTTTAAAACGAAAAATACCTCAGAATTAATTTTTTAATGCAATAAAATGATAATACAAATTTGAATTATTTTATTTATTAAAAATACATCTGTTAATATATTATAAAATTTAATTTAAAATGATCAAAAATATTTTTCTGCACTCGATTTAGAAAATAAATCGAGTATACAGAGTTCAAATATTAAAAAAAAAAAAAAATGAAATTTTACATCCTTCATTTAACACATAGTAATGAAAAAAGTTAAATTAGACTAAATTAAAAAAGACTAATTACATCAGGTATAACAAGCAATTATTTATAATAATAAATAAAAAAACTACATTACAGGATATCAATTATTTATTTAAATTAAAATTTAGTTTTGAAATTAATAATAATATATGTTTAGGTAAAAGGTAATGAAAATAATAGTAAAATTGTTTATCATGAGTTATTAGATTTGTTCATTTTTTTTATAGTATTGGTTATTTTATGTAAATTTCTATTCTTTACTTAGTGTAAATGAAAACATATATTCAGTATCAAATAAAATTTTAAATTAAAATTTTAAACTGCTTCATAATTATAACAACTATTTCTGTTAAAAAAATAATAACATCAATAATGTAGTAAGAGTAGTTCTTGAATAATTAACTAAACCGACATAATTAACAAAATACATTTGATTAATTCAATATGTTTAAAATACTAATGTATGTTAAATAACGAATAGAAAAATAAGACAGTCTAGAAAGTCTAATAATAGCAATAATTTTAGTTTATTTTAGCGACATATTCAAACAACCGTTTTCAGCAGATGGGAAAAATATTTTAAAACCGTAGACAAATTTATTGGTTATTTTTAATTCGATGAACAGATATTTGAGAAAATTAATACTAAAGTCAAATAGTATGAGCGACAAATTCAAGAAAAAGATTAATTCATAAGAAAACTGGCATCGTAGCATGATAAGCGTTAAGAACGTTTTGAACACTCTGTTCCTTTTAATTATAAACACTTATCAAAAAAATGTTACCAGTTTACTTATTCATTACTGTACTGCTAGTCACAAGAGAACGCAATTGACTACTGTATAAGATTGAGCCTTCTATCGAACTGTTTGGCCGTCAAGTTGCGTTCTTTCGTGACCCGCAGTATATTCACTGTGCTATACATTTATGACAATTGAATTTTGTTCACTCGGTTATTTGAATTTATCGGTCTTACCACTTGACTCGATTGACTTCAATATTTGTTTTTTTCAAATAAAAACCGTTGAATTAAAAATGATTAATGAAATTATCGCCAATTTGTTGTGTAGTTTTCAATTTGTTATTCTAATATTATTGGTGATCGGGTAACTAATTTTGGCATTTCTCGACCGCACTGTTTCACCCGACAAGGTATAAAAATACTAATAAAATCCGAATTATTGGTCCAAACGTTTTTATCGACCAGTCACTTTCTTAATTAGACAATTTTTTATTTTATAATTTAGTTTAATATGCTTAAAAAAAATGTTGGTACCCTTATAACGGATAAGTAGGTCCACATTTGGGGAGGGGAAGTGTTACCCTTTACCTTCGGCGACGATTTCTTACAAAACCACATGATATTACGTAAAATTTGTTTATCTAATAATTGCAATTGTTGTATTTTACTCATAACCGAAAAAAATATTCCATTTTCGCGTTTCTACAAACTATGACTTTTTTTTACTCAAAGGGGAGCAAAAAAAATTTGGCAAGGGGTAACGAAATGTTCAAATGTGGATGGAATATATTTAAAAAGTATTTAATCACTTGCAGTAAATTTAGTAAATATACAAACATCGTTTGGAAAATTAATTTTCCTCTCGTCATCATCTTACAGACTTTTAAGTATGATTAAATTCATACTTAAAAATCTATAAGACAATAACAACTCAATAGGGAAATTAATTTTTTCCAAACGATGTCTGAATATTGACTGGACTCACTGTATAAATCGAAAAATAAATATTAGTAAACAAAACCAAAAAAATATATTTTCAAAATGTTTGTTATTTTAGGAGAAATTTAATGGTCAATTATAAATCTATTTAAATAAAATATTTAAACATTTTTTAGTAATATTTCACTGGATTTTTATTTAACAGTTTTATATATTTATTAAGTTCACAGCTTAATATGTATTAGTGCAACAATATGTATTAATTAAAAGACTACATATGGAGTATCCAGGACACTATTAGGAATGTGTGAAACAATTCTTTTAACGTGTTTTTGCGACTATTTTTTATGTATTCTAATTACAAATAAAACACTTAAATCATAATAATATGTATGTGGGCCCACTGCTAAATCCGGTGTTGAAAGTACCACTAATATATATAATGGCTAAAATATAAATGACAACGCTTAAAACTTTTTAAAACTTAAAACCAATTTTCATTTCGTTGATTATTTTCAACGAAAAAATGGGAAAAAATGGAACGCGGTTAAAGTATATGTACAACAGTAAGAGCTGCATTCACTGGCATTTTTTATTCACTGTATGTATTAAATGCGTGTAACCCAATGGGTACTCGTCCTAAAATTGTACATTTTGGTAGAGATTTTGCATTTAAGCGCACCGTGTACCATCACATACACACACCTCTTCTGACCTAAAGTCCTGGACATCACTTTGTTTTGAATAAGAAAACGCGATTGACATATCAATGATTTTATCGTATATTTCATTAATCCGACCTAATTGAATAATTTTCTGTTTATGTTTGATTTTAGTATTTATTATTATTACAGGTGTAGCGGATCACACAGAGGGCGCAGCAGCGGCTGTAGCAACCGCATCGGTCACACTACCGGTCAGCTGTTTGTCGTTCGCGTCGCCTGAATAAACCGGTATGTCGGCGGCGGCGGCTGAGCCACCTGTTGCGACGGCACAGCAGTACGTCAGTGTTGATAGTGCCGGCGCTGCGGTGGACGGTAACATCGTTGACGATATGGAACCCGCCCCGGAAGAACGCGATTTGGCCGAAGACGCCCGGTGGAAACTAATTCAAAGGAATACCTTTACGCGATGGGCCAACGAACATTTGCGGTCCGTCGATATGTTTATCGACAATTTAGAAACCGATCTTAGTGACGGTCTTCGGTTAATAGCCCTCGTCGAAGTTTTGAGCGGCAAACGGTTACCATACGGTTACAGTAAAAAGCCGGCGTTCCGATCACAGCGGTTGGAGAACGTGTCGGTTGTATTGAAATTTTTGGAAGAAGACGAACACATAAAATTAGTCAATATTGGTGAGATAATAATTGTTTTGAATTGAGCGAAAAATGTGCCCTCGAAAACGAATTTAACTAGCTGCGAGTACGTTAGGGACATTTAAAGTTTTATTATCCTGTGGTTAACATCTTTTTATGGCCCATTAAACTAGTATGACAGGTATATTTTTATGAATTCTTTTAATCAACATAACGTTTCATACTATCGTGCAAATTAGTACGTAAAATCGATGAAAAAAAATATTATATACAAATAAAATATTGCATATCGTTGAAATTTTAACCTGTCAATATTATAGAAATTATCATAAAAAACAGTAAAATCTATTCAATTCTTTCAGTATAAATTATTATTCAGTGGAGTTATATAGCTTTTTTACGAACCAAAATTTCATTAAACACCGCCTTAAGCAATATTTAATAACACCATATTTTCACCGTAAAAGAAGTTCAAAGAATAAGAACCTTTAAAAAAACCTGATTTATAGTCACGCCCACACGTGCATAAATGAGATCGTTCCTTAATGTTTTGACGGAAAAATAATCATTTGTTATAATATTTCGGAATTTGGAAATATCTTCCAAAGTTTCTCTTAAATATTTTTAGTAAACGTCTGTATATTCAGTTTGATTATAAATTATTTTATAAAATCTTTAAAAAAATTAAATATTGACTAAAAGTGGTCATTTACAGACTATTGCAAAGTATAATTTATTTACTAGCAACATTTTTTTGGTACTTTTTATTATAGCTTTTAACAAATATATATTTTTATCTCAACACTTAACAAAAATGAACAATTATTTTGAATATATTTTTTATTTACTTTTGTTTTAAAAATAGAAAAATTGCAATATTTTTTTGTAATTAAATTTATAAATATTCTGTACATTTAATGTATTACAGTATAAAAAAAATTTAATTCAGTCACCAAAAAATATAATAATTTTATAGTCAGCCAAAAAGACTTTTTACATTTAAAGTTGACCTTATCGAATGTTTAAGTCAGTCGGTCGGTCAAATAGCTTAGTTGCATCCTTAAAAAATGACTTCGCTACGACCCAAGACTATAAGTCCCTTTAACTTGCCCGTTTCATCAATTTATTCGTCTCTGCCCTGGTCCATATGAGCTTTTAAAGAACGGTCACATAACAATTGAATTTCATCCAAAATATAGTATAACCTACACAATTTTACCAAATGTTTTATTTAGTTGAATTTTTTTTTTTTGATGTCCACTCATGAAAATCGGACAAACACAGATTTGTTTGTTAAATAAAAAAAATAATAGCAAAACCGTTAAAAAAACTGTTTTCGATAAAAATTTAAAACGATGACAAAAATTAGTGAATAATTAGGACGACCAATACATTAAAATTTTGACCCGTGCTCGACAACTGTCAACGGAATCTGCTGATGTCACCGTGTTATTCATTACACGCTCCTCTACCCGTAACTGGTGCACGTTGCCGTGTCCGTTTACACTTGTTCGTTAAAACGGCACACATGCACAACAACAATGTAAAAGCACATAACCGGTATTTGTTGTATTTTTCCAAAAACGGTTCATATTATGTCGATATACCATTCTGTTGAAATATAATGTAAAGTATACTTCATAGGATACCTCTATACTAGATAGAAGGTGGCTGACCTTGGTACTTAGACGATCCCAGTAGGGTTTTTGCAAATAAAACGGAGATAGACGGGCACATGAAATGCATTGATAAAGAGGCAAATTATAATTTGCCGCCTTAGGGAAATCATTCATGGTTATAAATGATTGCCCTCTATTTTCGTTTTTACTCGTGTACATAATTTCAATTAAGGTGACAACATTTATCCAGTAATGTTGAGATTTATCTCGTTAGTATTCTTTCAAGTACAAAAACGTGATACTAACCACGTCGTTTTGCTATAAAAGAACTGTACTTAAACGGTAGACTGCAAACGCATTCTTACATGCATATTTCTATTGAGCGACGTCAGTATGTTGTATTTGTCCCCTTTGCAAAAATACAACATTTATAACTGCTTGTAAAAGTCATTACCTGCTTTTCGAGTAACCCGTTCAGAAAAAAACCTGGTGCAATAATTGTTTGCTTGTTGTGTCGTCAATAACAAAGCAATACTTTTGAATAGAGATCTTTGCGCAGCGGTATATGGAATGTTACACAATTAGTACTCCTAATTATAGAAGTTAGTACATTTAAAATTAATGATGTATATCATTAAAAAGTATCTATGAAATATATAATGTACATTATTGTTTGAGAACATATTTCATTAGTATTTTGATTTTGCAGAAACATTTCAGAAACAAAAAATTCACTCTAACACACTTTCACACGTATCAGGCCCATGTATCATTGTTAGACATTGACACTTAATAATTCGTTTTAACATAAATTACTTACAGCAAAGTACGAATTTTATCAGTATATGTCTACTCAATTTGATATTTTGCTGAAATATATTCGGTACAATATTTTTTCCATTTTTAAGTTTAAGAGGAAATGTTTTACTTTAAAATAGAGCACATATAAAGATAAAATTGAGATATGTTCGCTACTTTTGATTCCCATAATGATATAAGTAGAATCCGACGCCTAGTTCAGTACCAATACACACTGATGATTTATTATTGACCTCCAATATTTATATGTAAAACACCATTTCAAAATATGTCTGTATTTTATTACACTTACTAAATACTTGTATTTATAAACTTGTAGCACAGTAGTAAAATATTGTGTTTATTATTTCACAGGCTTTTCTTATTTGGTTAAAATACTAAGGTATTTTTAATCAGGTCACTAACTAAACTTGCGCCTTAAAAACACGACTTTTGAATTATTAATTACTTATCTAATTAACAATAAAAAAAACTTAAATAAATCGACCTTAACATATTTTCATAATGGAACAAACATTTTTTATAACTTGTTTTACATTTTACGTTCAATAAATTATTTCCATAAACAGTATTACAAGTATAATTTTAATTATGACTTTTTTAAAACTGCTAAATTAAGTTATATAATAAGCATATAGTTCGATTAGAAATATAGTTAGTTAAATTTTTGTTTAAGCTATTAGCATCAACTATGAATGTTTGGTGTAAAGATAATTGATAATATATATATTTTTAAATCTTTTCCAAAAGATCAAATTTTATGTCATGCTCTTTTTGAAATAGGTGTACGCTCATATGATTACTTAAATAAACAAAAATCCGCACATTCCATTTGGCAACTAGTCAATGTTTCTTTCTTTTTATTTATAAATAATACAATTTATAATGAAGAATTCAGTAGTTATCGTAGAAAGATACTGAGTTTCATGTTTTGTGTATTCCTAAATTTATCATTGTATTTTTATCTTCGTAAACCGATTGCCAGAAAATAATAGTAGTAGTAGTAGGAGGAGGTTAGCCTAGTTTTATGGCATTATATATTTATCGAAGGTAAAAGATATTAAATTTAAAGTTCATATAAATGAAATAAAAAATTTCAACAAAATAATTATTCGTAAATAACTCAACTGTTATTAATGTAAAACCCAAACAATTTTGGGCAGCAATCAATAGTTAAAGGATAAATATTAAAAAACTTCAATTTAAACACGATTTTTACAAAAAAAAAATAATAATAATAAGCTGTGCTTCAAAATTTAAAACGTTTTAAATTATAATTAGTTTAAATGATAAGTATACATAAATTCTTCGTTTCATTGAAGCTCTTATCCAATAATTACATTGTTAATGACATTGTAATGTTGTTACATAGGTAACAATATACAAGCTGTATTTCACACCGTTGCACCAGCATCGTTTTTTTCAGTATATTATGTTTAACTCGTTTATAGCATTGTGTTTTTATGGCGATTATTGCAAAAAACTATTATACAGTTTATTTTAGTCCAACGCCCACATATTCTTGCTATCCTAAGTTTCTTCGAGTTAAATGATTTAGTACGAAAATAAAAAAAATGAATGACATATAGTGATATCAGATGAAACACATATATTTGTTTGTAGTTTTAATCATGATGTACAATAATAGGAATGCGACTGTTTTTAGTTGTTAAATATTTTAGCAAATCGTAACATTAATAAGTGTTAGAATTATATAATTTATTAGGGCTATAAATTGTACTGTATTTCGATGATTTAAACTTTATAAATAGCTTAGCTAAAATCAGCGGCGTTAAAAATGAATGAAAGATCACGGGCACGTTATATTCTGATTGAATGGTTAACTGTTTCTGAATTTACTAAAATTTAATATTAGAGGGCATAAAAAATAATAAATTGCGGGGGAGAATAAATTTGATAAAAATTAGCTATGTTTTAATGAATCATTTTAATTCCTTACAAATCAATGCCTCTGAAAATGTTAGTATCTACTAAATAAATTCATGCACCCAAATAGATGAGCAATTTTTTCGATTGATTTTTTATTATCCGCTTAGATGTTAAACTGATATTTCAATGTTGCGTCTAGTTCTTAATTACACTGGTGTGATATTACCCAAAATGTGAGTAAATATTGAATTGAAAAAACAATCTTGTTCGCTTTAACCATGAATAGATTATGCGTACGCTAAATTTCTGACTCATGTGCATCGTGAAGACGATTAACATTTGTATAGATTCGATGTGCTGGTGTCACCTCCGAAAAACTATCAATGATGTCATTGCAAGGTTATTTAAATTCAATACCTGCTCGTTCGGCATAAGATTTCCATTGGCGTTTTTTAGCAGCTGACGGCAGTAGCAATATCGGAGAATACGCACACCGAGGTAAAGAGTCGATTGTATGTCCGGGTGCTTACCTCGTGTACGTGCCCTCAGTGGGCGGGAAATCGATTGGTCTTAACGTAAAATAGTTAATGGAGCGTTTAGTTTTGTGTGGCAATGGATACGTGCCTAATTGTGATAATAATTTAACAAGGAGCAGCGGTCATGCGAATAACAAATAGCTAATTGTCTATGAGGCGTATGTGTTGTAATGAATACTTATACAAAAAACGCCTCGTACGTGCTTTGAGTTTGGTTATTATCACATACCGCAGCAGCGCCATACTTCATATTCAACATTGCAATTGATTGCATAAGAGATTTGTATAATTGCTATATCTAGAGTATTGTGGAAACTGTCATGTTATCCTATGTGGTTATAAAAAATAATTTTCAAATGTAGTCGCACCAAACCTTTTTAGATGAACCGCTACGGTTAAACGGTTTTTAGTAAACACTAATAATAGTATTGAATTATAGTAATTTGTAACTGTCACAAATGATAGTGGTATTACATTGCGGAGATGCGTCGAATGAAATTGTTCACTTTTCTTTGGAGTCGTGATAACTAAACAACGGTTTTTTCAAGACTGCAACATGTCATTAAACTATTTGAAATAATTATAAAATCTCCTAGGTCCGTTCTGCGTGTAAACAAACAAAATTCGTGTATTTTTTTTTAGTTTGCACTTGAAGTTAGCAAAGAATAAAACTCATTGGACATACCATTTAATAAATACTACTCGTGTAACAGCCAGACGGTTACTGCTCGTAAATGTTAAACATTTTTTATTCAAGACGTTTGTTACAAAAAATTATACCGTAGTGACTGTTGTTAATAGAAATGGTAAATATCATGTAGGAGTTTTAAATAATTTTTATTTTAATTACACGTGCAATAATTACTTGTGTCCATTGTTGGGCCCACCAACCGGTCTAGTCGTGGTCCGCTACACTCCAGCAGGTTTGCATGATAGTATCGGATGAGACTCCAGTGTTTCCTTTAACGTCCTCTCTAATCATATGGATTCATCAATCAGTGTATTGCTATGACCAGTTTTAAACACTTATCAATGAAAAATGGGCTTTATATTTTATTTAATATTTGTTCATTTTAATGTAAATCGAAATAAAAATATTAGAAATAATATAAATAGTCAACAAAGTACTATTGATTATAATCAATAATTATTTATACCTCATAGAATGTACTTTAACTATGAAGTTTAATACATTTATAAATAAAATAACTCAATGTTAATAATTTACAGATGTATTTTACTCAAAAATGCTAGCGAGAATCTCAGATTTTAGGCTATATTAAAAAACAAAATATTTCGTTCAGCATTTTAGAGTCGAAGGGATAATCCTTTTTTTTATAATTACTCTAAATTTACAACAGCTTCATGATAAAATTTCAATGACTATCTGTTATTTACTTCATTTTAATTCAAAGGATATAAATAATCTTGGTTGTAAAAAATCGTTATCTAGAACTCTCCGACATGTATTTCTCATAATTATTACTATTACTCAAAATTTTGGGTAAAAACCTTATACATTCAATCGTCTATATTTTGTTGTTTATTTAAAAAGTAAATTGAGTATTTTATAATTTTTAGATTCGTCAGACATTGTCGACTGTAAGCTCAAATTGATCCTTGGATTAATATGGACACTAATTTTACATTATTCTATCACAATGCCTATGTGGGGTGACGGCGACTACAACAGAGCACCCCAAGAAAAAGGGTTGTCCCCAAAACAAAGGTATTTATATACGAATTTTATATCATTAATATTTTACTTATATTAACTATGCAAACTGCTTCATGATATTTTTTACTAATAAATTTTTCAAAAATATTTTACGTTTAAATATGAAATTATTGTACTAAAAACGTTTATGGAGATTAGATTCAAAAACGTTTATTTTTAATTTTTACAATTATTCTTTTTAGATTGCTCAATTGGATTAAAAATAAATTACCTGATGGTGTACCTGTTTCAAACTTCACCACAGACTGGAACGACGGTCGCGCTGTTGGCGCTCTCGTTGACGCCGTAGCCCCAGGTATATATAAAATATTCTAATCACACAATACAATATTAAATTGTTATTTATAAATGTACCACGAGCCTATTACCAAATTATGTTCAATTATTATTAAAATTATTCATAGGCTTATGTCCTAACTGGGCTGACTGGAAGAAAGGTCCCAAGGAAGAAGCATTGAAAAATGCTAAAGAAGCTATGGATCTTGCCGATAAATGGCTCGGTGTCAAGCAGGTTTAATATTTTTATTCATTGATGTATTATATATTTATAGATATATTATACAGAATGTTCAGTAAGTAAGGAAACAATTTTATTGTTACAAACAATGAGAACATAGATATTCGTTTCCTTACTTATTGAGCATCTTATATATATATAATAAGGTGCCACTTATTTTAAGAATTTTGTAACACTTTTGAGTGCCGGCACTTTTTTCCACTAAACTAATATAGAATCGTTCTAATATAGAATCAGAAAACCTAAAAATATTCTAAAAATTCATGTACGCATTTTGATGATATTTTCACTCTGTTTTTAATGGAGACTCAATTAATGGCAATCATATGCATTTGAAATAATATTATATTATATTATCAATTATATTATGAGGGTAACAATTAAACTAATTAAAAATTATTATTAATAATTTAAAACAATTTTATGAATTTTTTATATTTGCCTAAGATTTTCTATTATATATATATTTTAAAGTACTATATAATTGTATAGTGTAAAAAATGCACATAAATGTTTTACAATTTTATTGAATGCTGTGCTTTTTAAGAATTTGTTCATTAATATTTGTTTTACTTTTAGCTTATTAAACCTGAGGAGCTTGTGGGTGGTGCAGATGAACAATCGATGATGACATACTTGTCTCAATATCCCAGCGCTAAATTGAAACAAGGTGCGCCAATTCGTCCTAGGACAAGTCGGTAAGTAAACCCAATGCCAATTTATTACTGAATGATTGAATGAACCTATTGGTTTATTGCATAATTATGAGATCATTATATAGTTATTCATATAGGCGTAAATAGAAGAAATAAGCAGGATTAGAGGACACAGTCTAAAACTTTTTGAAAAATTATACTACTATAGAAAAATATGTGAATTTACTCCCCTAATTTATTATTTTTATTTACACCAATGATAATGATATTTTTTATTCATAAATCAATGTTTCTTTTTTTTAATGTATTAAAATGCAAAATATATTATTGAACTATTGAAAATTTGAATATAAAGTAGTTAACTACTATTCTCTAATTTGTCAATGCTTCATTTAAATGAGTTGGGATAAATTCATAATATAAGTTAGTCTGAATTAAGATTATTTTGGGTTAAAATTAATAAACATTAATGATGAAACTAACGGCTGCAAAGAAGATTCATAATCTTTTATACCAACTACATTCAAAAATATTATTTGTATTGTCTACAGAATAGCAGCACGAGTTTTTGGGCCTGGAGTGGAACCAACAGGTCCAGTTGCTGGTCAACAAACATATTTTACAATCGACACAGAAGGATCAAACGACAAAGGAAACGTTGAAGTTGTCGTAGAAAATCCACAGGGTAAACGAGAACCAGTAAGTAGAATCATTAATTATGTCAGTCTATGTTAGACCAATCACTAAATTAATCAACATAAAAAAAACAATTAAAATTTTATAATTATTTAATCTATAAATAGATCACCTTAATTATTAAATAATATTATCATAATATGTTTACCTGTTTGAAAACTAAAGAAATACAGAGTAACTTTTATTATAAACCACTTAATTAACCAAAAAATAAAAATAAAATTGAGAATTTTTTGGTGGTTTCTTTTAGTATCATATTTTTTTTAATTAATCAATCATAAAAAATTTTATTAATTCATCCATCGTGTCTTATAAGGGTAATAGATTTATAAAGAGTACGGCCGAGAAATGACCAGTAAGAAGAATAACAACACGCACATTTCACTCTCTATTATCATTATAAAATATTAATAACCAAAAGTTGATATCGACCAGTGATTTTCATAATTAGATCATTATCTATTAATTTTTATTAAGCTTACAATTTTGGCTACTATGGCTATTAATTACAATTAGTGTACATTTATGGATACGTACTGATATTAACAAACTAGTATTTACAATCTAAATAAAATGAATAGTGTTTTTTAAGAATTTTATTAATTTTTTGTTTCACCGTCAGTTACCCACCTAATACTGATATTAAATTTAGCATAATTTTCAAATACATAATACTAAAAACTATTTTTAAAAATGCTGAAATAGAATTTTTTTTCTAACAATTTCTGTTTATAGTTCATTAAAATCATTTTGATTTTTTTTTTTTTTTTGTAAAAAACATTGTAATGAAGTGATACTATCTAATTGATAGACTAATTAATGCTTTAATTAGCACAAATGTTTTGTTATTTAGAAGTGTTTATAATTTCTGAAAAATCAATTATTTTAAATTTGTAATAATATACTGTTATTTTGTTACACTTCAAAATAATACGGTTTCGATAGCATTTATAAATTACATATTACTACTGAACTAAAAACGTTAGGAATTTTCATGTAATAATATAGTGCGAATATATTGCTTTTATAATATTATTCTATCAGTTTTGTAATTTAATTCTTAATTGAATATAAATTATATCTTTAAAAATAAATTTAAAAACTATATTGTACCATCAAAACATCTGTACTATAATAGAAAATAATTTTATGAAAATTTAATTTTTCATCAGAACACTAAAAATGAAATTACCATTTGACAATAATTGCTTTGTAGTAATTTATAATTTCAGAATTTGACAATGATATTTTAACACATTATAGATATTAATTCATAAAAATAATGATATAAAGAGTATTAATAATAAATAAAAACCTTGGTAATTTCCTTAAGGAGTCAATAACTATACCCCCTCACCCTTTTTGCTCAAAGATGAATATTTTGGTATAAAAACATAATTTTTTGCTACGTCATATATCTTCCAAACATTCTAATTCGAATAACAAAATATATCAAATTTTATCATTAGACCATTTTAAATTTCAATTTAGAGTTAAATAATAATTTACATCAATATTAATGTATAAGTCAGTAGTCATACCTTTATAATACTAAACTAATTTAATGTTATAGGTAAATGTGGTACCAAATAACAATGGACGTATATATACAGTAACTTATACACCACTTATGTCAGGACCATACACAGTACAAGTTAAACATGCTAGTGCCAATGCTGCACGATCACCATACCGCGTTCAAGTAGCTGACCCTGTTGGCAATCCAACCAAAGTTAAGGCCTTTGGACCCGGTTTGCAACCAGAAGGAGTATTAGTTGCCAAACCGACTTATTTTGAAATACATACCAAAGGTAAGCTGACAAGCTACTAGACAAATTATATTTCTTCCTAGTTTTAAATTATCCTATTATATAAAAATCAATTAATAATTACAGACGCCGGTGGAAAAGGAGTCCCCGAAGTTATCATCTTAGATCCTGCTGGCCGTGAAAATACTGTACACGCTAAAATAACTAAACAAGCCGATGGTGTTTACAAATGCGACTACACAGCTATTGCTCAGGGCGTACATTCCATCAACATTTTTTATGATAAGCAACCTATACCTCATAGTCCTTTTACTGTACTTACATCAAATGGTAAATATCATAGCAGAATTCTTTATGTAATTATATGGCTATATTTGCATTAAAATTAAATACTCTAATAGATATCATAAATCATGTTATTGCAGTATTTTTATTATGTATTTTATTAAAAAGGGAATATATGTTTTCTTATTAGTAATTATAGTAAAACAAAATATTAAGCTCAATTTTACATAGTTAACATCTTTAGAATTTTAGGAATTTCTTACATTTATATTCTTTTTTATGTACATGATTTTTTATTATCCTCTTTACACGTTTCTTAAACTAACAAGTTCAATAACAGAATTACAAATTTATTAAATTTAANAATTTGTCCCGACGATCTATCTTCTATGTGCAAATGGCTGTCGAAAATTAAAAAAAAATGTAATGATTGCGATAAAAATTACCTTTTATCGGGATGTTTTTTGTGCTTAAAACTGCCATAACTTTTTCAAAAATTAACAAATAAAAATAATATTTTTTTGTATTAAAACCTTAGATATTTCCCTTTCATTTGATATAATTTTTTTTGGAAATCTACCACTTATTCTGTTCACTGGGGGGATTTAAAATAGTAACTTTTTTACAAAAAATAACTTTTTCAACTTAATTTTTGAAAATGTTCCGGAAATACTGCGTCCTTTAAACATATATCAAATTAAAGCTTATTTTATGTACTACAAAATGAAAACAAAAAATTTGTCCCGACGATCTATCTTCTATACGCAAACGGCTACCGTATTCAAAAATATGCTATTTTAACAAATTTTTTTTTAAAATGAAATACTATCTACAGATTTGCATCGAAGCGTTTCTTATGATAGTGATTTAAATCACTGTCAAATATCATCTATACTTGTCCCATCTATGCCTTGTCTACACTGTGCCTCGACCCCACTGTGCTACCGTTTTTTTTTAAATAAAAAATGTTTGTTACTTATAGCAAAGTTATATTTTTGTATATTAAAGAAGTAAATCAATTAATTCAATAATATTTTTTAAGCGTCTGATGCTCGAAAAGTCCGTTGTTTCGGCCGAGGACTACAGTCACGAGGAGTTCGAGTAGGAGATGATGCCAAGTTCAAGATTTTGACTGATGGTGCTGGTGAAGGTGTGCCTGAAGTGAATGTTATCGGACCTGGTAAAAAATTAAACAATATCTTCATGTTTTGTCGATTTATCTTATCATAATATGCAAGCATGTTATTTTTGGCGTTATTGATGTTTTTTCTGGTTCGACCAGGAGGCATTAAAGAACCGGTACTGATGAAGAAATCCACTGATGAGCATACGTATGATGTAATGTACCATCCAAGAAAACCAGGAAGGCATGTGGTTATGGTAACATTTGCCGGTCAGGAAGTACCAAAATCTCCATTTGAAGTGCACGTTATGTCTTACAAAGAAACTTTAATTCGTGCCTATGGACCGGGTCTCACGGGTGGCGTGGTTTCTTATCCTGCTGTATTTACCGTAGATACAAATGGCGAAACTGGTGCTCTAGGCAAGTTTATAGTATAATAAGTTCAAACTATTTCTTCGTCAAATTTTTTTTAAATATATTAAATTTGTCATATGATTGCTATTAATATTTTACCTTTAATTAGAGCATTCAATAATAAGTCACCATACAATTTGATCCGTAGGGTTCAGCATAGAAGGTCCGTCAAAAGCAAAAATCAACTGTAATGACAACGGTGATGGTTCAGCTGACGTTCAATACTACCCCACTGCTCCAGGAGAGTATGCTGTGCACGTCCTATGTGACGAAGAGGATATACCAGGATCTCCTTTTATGGCCTATATTGTTCCAGCTCCTAACACAGATTTCCATCCTGAAAGAGTAAGTGAATCATAATTAGAGTACTTTTAATTTTTTTAACAAATACTATTAACTAATATCGTAAACATTTTATACGGAGTAATTATTTTAACATTAGCTACTCAATTTCTCTTAAAATAATAATTATTTTAAAAAATTACTTTTGGTTTCGCATATTTCTCAATTTACCCATTAATTATTATCTTTTTAATTCCTCCATTATACCTTATTAGGGTGGAGGCAACTTTATTTTTTAATACAAAAATAAACAATAATCATCCCCTCCCCCAGTAATCATTTTCTAGTTCACCTGATCATTTATGTGTCAGAATATTATTAAAATTATATATAACATCATGTGATGCAAACCTTAAAGAACCTTAAAAGAACTTAAAAAAAGACGAGTAACCGGTTAGAATGGAGAATTGGATTTGTATACCAACCTTCGGGTTGATAAAAAAAAATAATAATAATAACTTCATATTAGAAGTAATAGTTGATTTTTAATTTTTATAATTTTAAATTTAGGTTAAATGTTACGGTGATGGAATACACCCTAATGGTGTAGAGCAGGGACAACGTACTCAATTTACAGTCGATACCAGAAAAGCCGGTACTAAAGCTCCATTAGACGTTAAAGTACATTGCTATCATAATTTGACTTATATATAAGTGTATTTTGTTAACTTAATATTGAATTAATTGATTATTAACAGATATATGATAATGCTGGACACCTTGCTGCTGAACCAATAATGGTTAGAGATAACAAAGATGGAACCTTTGCTTGCGAATATGTACCAACAGCAGCGCCAGGAAAACATACAATTCAAGTTAGTTTTCACCAATTATAATTATAATAATTAATCACAATAATAGTTCTATCATAATACAACTATTTTTCTCTTGTGAAATATAATAGTTAAATATTATTGAGATAATAGTTTAAAGATAATTCAACATAACGGATATTAAGTGTTAAATAAAAAAACATTAGCATGATTTAATTCTTCCTAATTATTACCATAATTTTCATAACAAAAAATGTATTTTTTACTTAATTCAGGTAGCTTACGGTGATGTTGCCGTACCTGAGAGCCCATTCCGGGTTCCAGTATCTCAGCCTGTAGATGCTAATCAGGTTCGGGTATTCGGTCCTGGTGTGGCAAAAACTGGCATAAAATCCAATGTGCCCACTCATTTTACCGTTGATTGTTCTAATGCTGGTATAGGTAAGTTTTCTTATCTGCAGAGATTTTGTGAAAAGTAGTTCCACAGTTTTAAATATAATTATTTATATAATTTTAATTAAAAAAGTTATGTTATATTAATGCAGTATAATGTTTTACCTATCCCTCACCGACCCAGTACGGTAAATCGACGTCTTACGCGTCTATTGTTTGCTGAGTATAGTTCATTGTCATTCTTGAATAGATAATGTTGTGCGTTTTTTTTTTATTTACATATAAGCGCTTTCGAATGTATGTGCTAATATTCAGCCATAATCATTGTTTTTGTATATCCTGTTCTGATCTGGCTCTCTCTAACTTTTGCACCTGTACATTTCTTTAGTGTCAAGCTCTGTCCATCACTGAAGTATTTACTTTTTAAGCGACTAGTCCTGTAGTCATTAATCCGTTTACGTCTTCAGCATTTCAACGCAAAACATAAATGTTGACCACTTTTCACTGCCATTATTTGCCATTCATCTATTCTACCTTATACATCTAAGTCTTTAATTGTTTGTTATATTTTATATCTTTTCTGTTTTGTTCATAGCCACTTTGTCGGCCATTTTAGTAATAAGGGCACCCTCACACCCTTAAATTTTAAGTTACTCGTTAAAGATCTCTTAATATATTTGTTTTAGTAACTGTTATATAATTATTGACTACGCATTTATTAGATGTGTAGTTAGCCGACATCCAGTGTGGTACACAACTAGCCAAGTTACATAGAAACATATGCTTTCAAAATTCCTCAAAATGAGATATATTTGAAATACTATCTACTAGTTTCCCTTTTATTACAATTTAGCAACTTAGACAACACTAAAATAATTTAATTTAAATATAAATGCCAAAACTTTCAAAATTCATAAATGTTAATGATTATCAAATGTTTGTTTTATTCTTTATAGGTGAATTAAATGTTAACTTGGTAGATAATCGTGGAGTAGATGTTCCTTTGAAAGTCAGTGAGAACGACGATGGATCTTTCCGTATCGAATACGTACCTCCAGCACCAGGTACGTACAAATTACGTTGCACATACGGAGGAGCTCCTGTACCCGGATGCTGTCCTATAGAAATTATGGCATCCAAACCACCGGTAGATGCTTCAAAAGTTCGTGTAGATGGTCTTGAAACAGGTGAGCTGTTTTTTATTGAGTAAACACAATAAAATCATGTAAAACTTAACGACAATGTTGGAGAGCATCTAAATTGTATCTTATAATTATGATAAACACGGTCACAAGATCATTTTAATGTTTTCAGTAAACTCAAATGGCATAAAACATTAATTTTGATTTTTAAACATAGACACGATCATTAAAAATGTACTTATTTATATTTTAACAATACTATTTAAATAACCATGTCTTCAAAATTTATCCTAATCGTGTAAATTTGGATACTGGTTCTATTAATATTTGTCGTGATAGTGGCGGCAGTCAACAGCGTCCAAGAGTTCAGGGTGTGGACTCTTGATGCGTGTCCAGGGGCTGCTGAATTGGCTGTAATGATTACCGGCCCGTCCGGTGGTTCTGTAAAGGCGTACATCGTACCCGTCGATGGAGGAGGTTATGCAGTGAGTTTTACGCCCATTGAATCCGGAGAGTATCAGTTAAGCATAACGGTGGCCGGAGAGACGGTAGTCCGCCAACACCGAGTGCGGTGCGTGCCGGCCGCCGGTGACCCATCGAAAGTTTCAGCGTATGGACCGGGTCTTAACCGCGGCCGTGTCGATTGGCCAGCGCAGTTCACTGTAGATACTAGAAAAGCTGGTGGTCGGGGCGGACTTGCCGTTACCGTAGAAGGGCCATGCGAGACGGCCATTGCGTGTCGTGATAATGGCGATGGAACTTGCGCGGTTGCGTACACGCCTCGTATGCCTGGCGACTACGCCGTTAATGTCACGTTTGATGATCAACCAATTCCTGGTTCACCGTTTAACGCCTTGGTACTTGGTAACCCAGCCCCAAACGTCAAAGTATCCGGCAACGGTATACAACCCTACGGTAATACCCGTGTGTGCGTGTTGTGATATGCCATCGTTTGATTTCCACTAACATGAGTTCACTGATTTCACACTGTGTCAACCAACGCATTATAATACCCACAAATTTCCATTGTTCGTTAGTGAACCTTTAGTTGTGATGTAATGCTACTCTATCTTTTAGATTTGTTTTTTTTCTAGGTAGAATTTTGTGTTATTTATTATTTTCATGCTGTACATAGTTCTATATTTACTATCAAGAACAAAATTATGAATATTAACACATTTTGTTGAGCCATCCTGAAAACACTCAAATCCGTGCAAATTATTTTATAGTATCTAAAATATATTTTTTAATATAAAAGGGAGTTAACCTCTTCATGTATTTAATATCTATATCTTTTTACGAAATATACAATTTAAATAAAATTAATTTGCAACGAAAATTTATGTGTTCAGGATGACTTCAGAAAAATTTTAATTTCATAATATATATGTTACACAGATTTAAACTGTTTAATATTATGATTTTGTTCTCTTCTATTTTATAAACATTTTAGCGCAAGTAAAAATTATTTCTTTTTAAAGTACATTATTTTTCATTATCTTAATTAAGTTATACCAATGTGTTAAAATGTGTTAAAATGTATTATTATGATTTTATTCCTTTTTTCCGTGCGTTGTTAGTAAGATATTTTTTATGTTTTTCATATTAAATTACTATAGTAGTTTTGGTTAATATTTTTAAATAGTATGAGTTGATTTTAACAACTAATAGCTGTTATTTCTATTAATTAAAATTATCGTAAATATATATATTTGTTTTATTTACTTATTATTTAGTTGTATAGTTTCCTATCTATTATTATTTTTTTACTTAGGAGTATTTTTGGACTCACCCGCCGATTTTATAGTCGACTGTCGAGCTGTTAACACATCTAGTCTAGGTAAAGGTCTACCAGGAATTGTTACATGTACCGTTACAAATCCGTCAGGAGCTCGCACCGACACTTTGGTTGCTCCTCAAGGTGACGGCACATATCGCATCAGCTATACACCATTTGAAGAAGGTTATTATTACCATTTTAACAAATCTATACAATTTTAAAATAATTTTAATTGTTCAATAGGACCACACACTGTAGAGATATTCTATGATGGAGCTCCAGTAGTTGGATCTCCATTTACAGTTAATGTAAAACGTGGTACAGACGCTTCTAAATGTAGAGCTCATGGTTTAGGACTTACCAAAGGCATATTAAATTCAATTAATTCATTTACAGTCGAAACTAGAGGTATTTTATTTTTTGGTAAAATTATTTTACTATCAATAAAGTTAATTCTTTTGAAAATTTTTAATTTATTAAATTATCTCTTTTCAAATTAAGTGTAAAAATTAAATTTGAGTCGTAATCATATTATATGTTTTATTTATTTTATTGTTGTATGATATATTTTCAACATAATTTTTTCTAGGAGCTGGAACTGGCAGTTTAGGTTTAGCTATTGAAGGACCATCTGAAGCGAAGATGACATGTCGAGATAATCGAGATGGCACTTGTTCAGTTGATTATATACCGACCGAACCTGGTGAGTATGATATAAGCATCAAATACGCAGAGAAACATATCCCAGGATCACCATTTAAAGTAAGTTTTTAATTAGCTTGCACATACTATTCTACTTAAATATGTGTTTATTGTATATCTTATTTTGTTGTATAACAAAATTTAAAATAAAAACGTATTGACCTGTATAATAACTTCCAATAACTAACCCATCAAATATTTGACGACCTAATGCTGAACTTATATTTTAGATAGGAGTCGACCGTATAGTTGATGCAAACAAGGTTATTGTTACTGGTCATGGTCTTAACTCTAAGTATTGTAGAGATGATACACCCGCAACGTTCAAGGTAGATGCTACGCAATCTGCTCGAGGACATTTAGATGTAAAAATGACAACCGACAGAGGTAAATTTGATTTTATATGGATAGATTTTAATTGTTAAAATCGAATAAAACAAAACGAATAATTAAAAAATACTTTCAAGTTATTTGAAATTATGTATACTTTGGACCTAAATCTTAAAAATATTTTAATTAATTTGTATTGTTAAAAAAATAACAAAATCATACAAATAACGTAAACGTGGTAAAAATTTTTTTTATTTATCTTTTAGGACCTTTAAAACAAAGACCCATTGTTAATGATAAAGAAGATGGCACATACGAAGTCACATTTACTCCTGGACCCGAAGGTGCTTTACTTACAGCTAACGTATTGTACAATGGAGTTCCCGTACCAAATAGGTATGAAGTAGATTACTTTACTCCGATTATTACAATAAACGCCAAGTTTTTAAATCCCATTACCTTCTAAAATTGTACTTTTCATTTCTGTGAGTGTTTATTTTTAAATCATATCCTATAAGTTTCACATTTGTATGTCATTCATACTTGTTCATGTTTGATATGAAGATCTTTTTCTATTTCAGCCCGTTTAAAGTTCGTGTACGACCTAAGTTCGAGTTAGATAAAGTGAAAATACAAGGGCCCGGTGTGTCAGATGGAGGAGTAGGTGTAAAAGCTTCAGTGCCAACATACTTTGTAGTCGATGCCACCGAGGCTGGTACCGGAAAACTGGACGTGCGGATTGTTGTAAGTACCCAATTGTAATTTATGTATATATAATATGATTCTTTACAGTACAAAAAACCAAATTGGCGGTTTCAAAAAATTAAATAATTTTATTATTATTATTAGGGACCAGACGGATACCCAAGACATGTAGATGTTGATAAAGTCGATCAGAATTTATACAAATGCAAATATACTCCTGATGACTGTGGTAATTATTCCATTGAAGCTTTGTATGGAGGCACTCGGTTACCTGGTACCCCAATTGCGGTTCAGTGTCACCCCACAGGAAACGTAAGTTTTAAATATATTGACACCTTTAACATGATAAATGTGTATTCTTAATTCCAACAATACTTAAATGAATTTATGAATCGTATTCATTTTGAATTGAAAGTAAAATGTTTCTTTGACATTGGCCAATATCTTACTATTAACTCTTACCTAAAGACTATTCTATTAATACATAAAAAGATTAGAAGTCATTATAAATAGATTTTAAACCTATTGTATCATCTGTAAAAATAAAATATGTAACATGAATTATAGAGAATATAAAGTAATTTTAAAATTAACAATACTTTTAAATGAATACATTTACATTAAACAAAATCATAAATTCTTTTTAATGCATGAAACAAATTTTCAAATCAATTATATATTTGCTGTGTTGATTAATTTTTAAACTTACGTTATACTATGTAGTTGTTATTTAAAATTGTTTTATTTATTATTTATTGTGCGTATTTGCTTAAATGTTAGTGCGCGATTGAGCTTAATTAAAAAAATAATAATTGCGTTTTTATAAATATGTAATTATTAAAAACAATTACATTTTAAAACTATTTTCACTACTAAAAAAAAACTTGTTCATTAATAGCGTTACAGGCCATTTAAACCCATTTCCGCAACAACAAATTGCCTCCACTGTACTTTAGTCCCTGGATTAGTTTTACAAGCTTTTCAGATATGCCTAACTGGCACATTGCACTCTATTATTATTCTCTGTTCACTGAACCGTAAGTGGCCTAAAATCTATAAAAATGTGTATATCCTTGTCAAATTCTTCATTTTTTTCAGTTTAATGACGTGTATCTGATTCAAGGTTGATTACCCTAACATAAAGTCTCCACATTATCCTATAATTGTCCTTTCAATATGTTGGTTCAATAGTGTATTAAACATATTTTTTTTAACTCGTCTGTTTTTGGTTAATAATGTTCCATTTTATCCTCTGATCATTAATGTTCTACGTTTAAATCCATGTTTAACTTTAATTTTTCAATAAAAATTCATGCCCAACACAACTAGAGCCAACGGAGTCATTATACCCGTCACTCTAGACGCATGGGCANAAATCCATGTTTAACTTTAATTTTTCAATAAAAATTCATGCCCAACACAACTAGAGCCAACGGAGTCATTATACCCGTCACTTTAGACGAGTGCCCATGCGGGAATATACACCTAAATCTATAAAACATATAACACATATTTATTAATCAATGACAGTTATATTTTGGAGTGTATTAATTATAGTTTTTTTGAAATTTAACGACAATTATAATAATGATTTAGTATTTCTTGTTACAAACTTCCGCTTTTCGCGATATCGCGTAGCTTCTCACTACGCCTATTAAGTCGCCATTAGCTTTTATTCGCAACACGTTCAATATGCGATGTGTTGTGTATTGTATTTTAATTAGTGCTGTTGTGTGTCAGTAGTGTTTTACATTGAATTTACACACTAAGTAGTTTTGTGTCGTGTGTGTTGTGTTAATTACGGATTTTTGCAATATATATCCGTTATATATTACTTTTGTCTTCGCTAAGGCGAATATGTGTCGCATTGTTGGCACTGGAACGGCTTCAATGTCCAACGGAGGGCAAGTGGTGCCGATCGGGAAACCCCAGACCATTGTGGTAGAAGCTTCAGGATGCGGTCTGGGCAACGTAACTTGCCGCATCAAGCCAGTGGACGGCGAGTAAGTACTATGAATAACATGAAAAATGAACGACCTAGTATTTCAATGAATTTCAGTTAATAGTTTTCAAATACCCTCGATAATACATTGAAAAACTAAACCAGTAACTAGTATATTTAAGTTATTTATCATTTGAAATATATTATTTCAAATAAATGTTTTATTACTTCATACGCTAACATTGTACTTCTTAAGAGTAAGTCGACCAAATTAACTAATTTTATTGCAATTATTCGTCATAGGATAACCATGCCTATATATTCTTTTGATTAAATTTTATAAAAACTGAAGTTTAGCTCTGCGTAATACAAACTTCGTTGTGAACTAATATCATAATAGTATCGATATTTAAAATAGTAATCATAAAAATCATTAGGCGTTTCACTGTGTATTTGTCTGATTGTGTTTCAAATTATACATTGCCTGAAGAATAATTATACTTGCAGCTTATATGAAGATGACGTGAGTGTAGTTCCAAGAAGTGATGGTGCTTATGATGTTCATTACACAGTTCGAGTACCTGGGGTTTACCAAGTCAGCCTAAAGTTTGGTGGCCGAACAGTGCCCAAAGGAGAATATATATTTACTGCTATAAAGTCATGAAAAATGAATTAGTCATTTAAGGAAAACGAGATGAAAAATGTCGCATCTTAACACAACGAAGAAAATTGTACAGATAGTTAAAGAAAATTTGACCTTCAGAAATAATAAACTAATTCTCAAATAATAACGCGTAACAGACAATACGAATATTGTTTTATTTATAACATATATTATTTCAATTAATACGTCTACTAATCAATAGTATTCGTAAAGACAGAGTGGTTTTCATTGTTATTGTTAAAATATTTTCAATTTATTTATATTATTGTGTTAATTATTGCTAAAGAAATAATAAGTAAATATTGCGTCGTTTATAAAATTTCATGGTGTATGTTCGTTAATATATATGTCAATTGAAAAGCCTTAACAAAATACTGGACTTTTTTTATAATGATTTAATTTTGTCGAAGCAATCAATTTAATAATAATAAAAATTGAGAACATTTTATAAGGAACCAGCACGTTTTCAAAAATACAGAGAATAAAAATGTTAACTTATGAGATATTTTAGTATGGCCAATTTTAATTTAATTAAGATGCAGTGACTATTGATGTTATTAATATCTTTTAGGATTTCATTATTTTTAATTTAGTAATTCTCAATTATTTGAATACAAGCGTTCGTGCTTAAATCTAATTGTTATGCCGATGTCAAGTATTCAAATTTTTGTGACCGTTAGAAACGGTTACAAACATTTTCCTACACATACAACGTCAGATTTCTAGACTAAAAAATTATTATTAGACATGACATGTATTGAAATTGTTCTATTGAAATATTTTCAATGTTCAATCATATACATTTGTATTGTAAATCTCTTAGCTGTCTTGTGATATTATTTAACTCTACTATATTAAAGCTGAAGACAGATGGATTTATTTATTAATAATTCTTGCTATTTACAGATTTAAACAAAAAATTATGATATATTGTAGAATAGTGAAATCAAACTTTCGTATTTAATTGTATATTAATTTAAAAATTTTACATCGTGCCAAGTTTAATGAAGGACACTAATACGTTTCAGACACAAAACAATAAGGAACCACTGCATATACAAGCAAATTTTGTATAAGTCCCGCCAAATAAAAAACGTATCAAAAAATATTTTTGTAGTATCAACACGTTTTTACAGCTTTAAAAATGTTTACAAAATAAATGCCAAATCGAATGTATGAACAAAATTAAAAAATACACTGGTCATCAAAAGTATGCTTTTTACACAAAATACTTTTCTAGTTCAATTTTTACTCTTATTTCTATTCTAAAATTAAATTTTTTTAATCAACCCAGGTTTTTCTTGATAATTACCAATTAATAAAAAAGAGTAATTACACATGAAAAAAAATAATTGAAAAAAAAATTTATTTTGATTATTAATATGTTAAAAATAATCTGTACAAAATTCGATTCAAATTATCAGTTCAACCTACTTTTTTAGTCTTTTAATGTTAATTTTTATAAAAAAGCTAATAAATTAACACATTTTTATAAAACGTGCGTAAGATTAAAAAAAAATGTGCCACACTTAATTATATTAACCTAGTAATGTGTTAATATTTTGTAAAAAAATATTATTCACAACTGTTATAAAATCATAAATTTAAACACAATTGAAAGGCGTTCATGATAAATTACAAATATTTTTAAATTACTTGAAATATTTGTAATTTACTAATAATAGATATATAAACTTATTTCAAATAAAAAAGATATCTGGCGGAATAAATAATTCACTTATAACGTCTGTGCAGAATGTACAGAATTTCAAAATTAAATCATATATGCGCATAACATATTATATTAAAAAATGTCACTAATCACACTTGTGTGCTACGCCATTATTTCTATTTACAGTAAACTTACAAGAATACAGAAAAATTTCATTAAAATTACTATTTGTTTGCATTTTTATTGTAATAAATAGTTTAAATAAAAATTTAACTAATCAATTATATGTAACTCTTGGCGTTTAAAAAGATGGCGAATTAAAAATTTCAGATTTTAACTAATCAAAAAAAATTAAGAAATAACATCGGTAAAATGAAATCCAACAACACATCAGTGAAATTGCGAAAACAAAATTTTACTACATTAAATGTTTATATAATTTTTTTTATTTAGATAAAATTAAAAATCAAATTGCATTAATGCAATATATTCATCTTTTATGAAATACATAATACGTATCCAAATCCGTTTACAATACACATAAAAAATATTTGAAAAAAAAATTTTAATTATAAAGAATTTACTGTACATAATACATTTTACATATTATTTTCAAAATTATTATTAAGTATATTTATTTAGATTAAAATATATTTATTAAATTCATTAAAAAGTTGGGGTCCTTTAAATTACAAGTTCATATAACAGCTTTTTAATGAATTTTAAAAGGCTGATTTTTCTTAAGCACAATTTCTTAATTCTCCGTTATAAAATTATACTTATTATCATCTGTTATATTATGAAGTAATTTATAATTATAACTGTAAGTATATCCACAGATTATAAAACCCGGAAACTACTTGTGAAATTATCGATACTTCACTATCAATTGCGATTCCTATCAAATATGTTAATATTAAAATTAATAGTTTATTAAAAATTAATATTAAAATAAAAATGTATATTTTAAATAAATTTTATTGGTAATATATAATTATTTATAAATAAACTTTTAATTTTATCTTGCTTTACAAAGAGTAACTTTATATTTTTAAAATCTTCACACTTATCCATAATAATTGAATGGTTTGCTGCTCTAAAAGACCATTTATAGTGTTTACGTCTCTAATACGTTGTATTAGACATGTTTTATGAATAAACCTTTGTAATGGAATCCTATGAATTGAAAAATGTTAAGCTACCTATTTTTTGCAGCAAACTGATAATGTTCCGTCGTATTATTCCAAAGAATTAATTTTTGTAACTCAAAAAGAAAGCTAAGTTATTTTTAACTATTGTCCAAATAAATTATAATAAATGACTCAGTTAATTTTACAAATGATTTTTGGTCCAGTGTTACTACATAGTTTCAATGCTCACAGCGGGCACTGTTCAGTTTGTTTGATTTAACGATTTCTAAGTTGCTAGTTCACTTCAAAATTTCCAAAAACATTAATTAATAAACATTGATTAATAATTACACAGAAGATACATCAATGTGTAATATGCTACAAGCCAATTATTCCTTAGTTATATAATTATTGTTTATTAACAATAAATTGACTTGGTTAATTTTACAAATGATTTTTGATCCAGTGTAGCAATAATAAAATCCAATGATTTTAAGTAATTCCTTATAAATTTTAAAATCTGGAAATTAACATTCCGTTACTTCTTTAGAGACTTCAAATATATTAACACATAATTTGCTGTGTACACCATCTGAATGTGAATGACAAAATTGTTATTATTATTCTTTTATATAAACTAACTATAGTTATTATTTTAATTTTAGCTAGTGTATTTTTAGTAGCCAGTATATAAAGATAAAAGTTTTTTTTTTTATTAAAAGAATGTTATAAAAAATTAATTTTAGGCTCAATATTAACTATTTAGTCCCAAAATAATTGAATGCAATGATTTTTTAAAAATAACGTTACCTGGAGTTGGCCATTATAGGTACTTCTAGAAAGTTAAGGGCGACTTGTTAAAGAAATGTTTTGACGAATAATTACCTAAAAAATTATTAAGAATTTATATGAACTTAATACGTTACAAAAAAAACTTATCACGATTATGTCTAACTAGTTAATGTATTTTTACTATATATTTTTGGTTTTTAAAATAGTGTGTCATGTTGTTCCACTTTTACCTTAATATACTGAATTTGAACTCATTTTTTATTTATTAATGTGTATATATATAGTTTATTATTATTATTAAATTAAATCAGAAAACAGAATGTGTTAATTAATTAACATTGAATTCAATATACTGAGTCAATGAAGAAAAAACTTGTAATTAAAATTGAATTTTGATCTTTGATTCTAAGTTATTCATTTTAATTACTTAATTTATTATAAAAGGTATTAACGTTATTATGATGTACTTTTTTTGCCTATTTCCACAAATTTTTAGCTCTCACTGGACACATTTTGCTTAGCGATACGTCAAAATATTAAAAATCCTATTTATTTGACTTTTCCTCAAAAATTGAAAACAAAATCCATGTTGTCTATAAATTAAAGAAATCCCCCAAAAAATTACGTCAAAAAGACTTAAATTTCAATTTTTTTTCTTCTTTAAATTATGACTATTCAAAAAATATATGAATAAAAATTAGTTTATTTTTTCGACATTCCTAAGTGTTTTTCTTCATATGATTTTCTTTTTAATACAACCTTTTGTTTGCATACGGAGGGGTGTTCAAAAAATTAATATTTACATTAAAAGTATGGAACTTGATCAATTTAACTATTGATAATAACCTAAAAACCTAAATTTTTAAAATATATTTGAAATAAAAACTTATATAACACATTTACTATATTTTGAAAAAAAAATTGATTTTAGATATGTTTCCTGATATAAATGAATACAGTTTTTAAAATCATAAAAGTTTTTTCTATAAACGGCTGATTATATTTGCTCAATTTTAACTACTATAAATTAAATATATAAAATTTAAAATATTAAAAATTTTTAAAAATATTAATTCAAGACAGATTTTAATGAGAATACATTAAATGTATAATTGTATGTTCAAGTAATTTTTTTTTTAATCAGATCATTTATCTACTCAAAAGAGTCGTTTTATACAGCGATTTTTGCATATCAATAAAACTTTTCCTTTCTTAAATCTTGAAAATATTCCAGAAAATTTACATCGTTTAAATATATTTTAAATTAAAAGTAATGTAATATATTTGATTTTGAAATAAATTAAACTCTGAACTTGTATTCGTACAGTTAAGTTAAAAGGGAAAAGTTATTTGTGTAAAAATTTAGTAAATCTATTAATATTAATATTTTTTATCTCTGAAGACATATCCAACAAAATCGCTAATTTTCGACATTTTTTCAATTTTTTTTTTCATAAAACTGCCATAACTTTTTTAAAAATGACCAAATCAATAAAATTTTTTTTTTTATAGATACCTTAAGTATTTACCTATCATGTGATAAATTTTTGTGAATATTTGACTCCTTATTAGCCCACAGGAAAGGTTTCAAAATGGCAACTTTTTACAAAAAATTAACTTTTGAAAATACTGACACTTTTATATATACCATAAATTAATGCATATGAAATATACTTTAATTTGGAAAAAAAAATTTGACCTCTGGATTTGTTTTCGTGGTGAAATCGGAAATCAAAGTTAAAGAAAAACAAACGACTCCATACAAAATTCTCAATTTTATATTTTTTAATTAATATTGCTATAACTTTTAGAAAAATGTATCAATCAATATTATTATTTTTTTATAATAAATTTTTATATACCCCTTTCATCTGACACACTATTTTTTAAATCTATTCATACCCCTTTATACAAACTTTAAACGTGCGTATTAAACTAGGACATTTTCAATTTAATTTTTAGAAGTGTTCCAGATATACTGACACTTTTATATATATATTAAATTAAAGCTAATGTAATATACTTTAATTTGAAAATTTAAATTTAATTTTTAATTTGATCTCTGTATCATAAAATATCATATTTTTGTGTTAAAATTCTGGGTTTTGTATTTTATTTTATTTAAAAATGCCTGACAAGAGGAGTGCACTGATTTTCATAAATATTATATAAATCAAATTAATATAGCATAGAAAGTTTAACTCATTTAAATTTTTTGCGTTTTTTAAGTCGAGAAAAATAACTTTGAAATTTAAACTAGTTTAAATTGCCATTTATTCACCTAATCGGCAACCGTAGGGTTTTTAAATAAAAGGTATTTTTTTGTGACTATCATTTGTTTTCTCTGCTCTAACTTGATTTACTTTTTTCAACGATACGTCAAATGACTACAATTCGTATCTAGTTGAAGATATTACCCTCAAAAATTGAAAAAAATGTAATTTATCAATTAAACAGTTAGTTATTCCATGATCTCCATAAAGACAATTAAAATCATTCATTTCTAATGTTTTCAAAGTATTTATTGACGAATTTAGTTTGATATGATAGGTTTCAACTACAAAATTATACCATTTTACTTTGTAATTTATTAATTTTTTTACTCTATTTGTGTGTGCTACTACTAGACTATAATATTACAAATTTTTTGGTAACATGTTACATATAAATCATTTCTAAAAAAAATTATTGTTAGTTTCTCCTGAATTAATAATGGATTTTTACAATTATAATCAAATATTATTATACGCTCATTTGAAAAAATCTTTTTAACAACTTTGTTTTGGTTGGTTCATTTAGTTAAAGTAAATCATTAAACTTAATTAAGTTCTGAATATTTCAATTGCAGAATTTTTTCAAACATCAAAAGTTACTGGGAAATTATTACTATTACTTCTATTTAAGTTATCTAATACGATAAAAATGCAAAATAATATTGAGCTTCTCTGATAAATTTACAATAAATAGTAATTATAAAACTTCGTGACTGCATATTAATCTTAACGATACAATTTTTTTAATTCTCATAAAATTTCCTACTTAACCAGTGTTAAGTTAAAACAATTTTTTTTTTTTTTTTTATGTAAATACTTATTTTTAATAATAAGTAATAATATTAAAACTTAGAATTGACAGAAAAAGTCTAATTGCACATTTGAAAGCAACGCAAAATGTTGATTTAGAAAAGTATATTTTTGTTTCTAATGAAAGTTCCTTGTTGTTCAGTGTATAGAACTTATAACTTTGTTATAAGTAACAAACAGTTTTTATTGAAAAGTATTGGATCAAGCCCTTTAAATTTTTATACGCGTTAAAAGTAAAGAAATATACAACTACTTAATTATTTTTATAATATCTCCGTATGAATTACAATATTAAATTATTGAATATCAATTTCACACTAAATGTAATTACTATAATTATTATTTATTCATATATTATAATTATAAATCAAATCGGGATGAAATTAAGGGCATAAGAGTTATTTTTGCTTTTGAAAAATCTACCAATTTCTCAGAATTAAACATTATCTACAGATTTGCATCGAAGCGTTTGTCCCAACGAAGCCAAGTCCATACTGTGTCGCGACCCAACTGTACTGTCGTTTTTTTTTTTATGATTTCCATTAACCAAGTTTACAGAAATTGTTCAAATCAACGCTACTCTATCGTTATTGATAAACTTTCGTAGTATAAACCAATTGGTTGTTGACAATGTAGGAGACGCATCATTTCCGCGGTTTTTTATTTGGCAAGCGTCCGCTAAATTTTCTAATTGCTCGCGACTTCTTTATGGATTCGCGATTGTTTACATTATGTCTCCATTAGATGTGTCATCGGACGAATTGATCAATATCTTTTAAGTGTTTCGCAGGAACCGGATAAGCAAACTAACGGAGCTCCGGCTAGCTACGACAATATTAATATCCTCATGAGCATGCCGTTGGACCATTGCCCGGCCTCACCGTATCAAACACCCACAATCTGCCCCTGCTCAACATGACTCCTCTCGACTTAACTAAACCATTAACGCTACGTCACCCCACCACGACGTCAACAATAACTTTTTACTATGATCCATCTGGATATTATAAATAAAATACATTTCTACACTCGATTTTTCTTGTATGCATAATTATTTTTACTGAACTCCGGTCGGTGTATTGTTGTGCGTATTGCTCTCAGACCCACTCCTATCCCGTTACCCTTCGTGTCGATATATTATAATTAACCCCTCGTCACCGCAATCTATTACCCTACAAGCAGCTATAATTAATAGTATTAAGTTAATAAGGTAATCCCGATACTCTTACATGCCGATTGTATAGTATAGATTGAATAGTATTTACATTTGTGTTGTTGTCACTCGGTAAATTTCCATTGGCTTTATTAACATTGTCATACCGATTTTTCTACAGGCTTCAGATTCTGTGGATTCAATTGCTGTCAGCAAACAACTCCCTAGAGAATTTGCAGAACAAGTGCGGATAGACGAACATTTCGTCCAACGGTCAAGGACCTCATCAGCTACAGAATACAGGCCAGTGGCTTTGGATAAAATACCAATACCCTCTTGTGCAGGAGGCAATTTAACTGGTGAGCTACACTCTTTCGTATATTTAATTTCCACATACAAACATAAAGAAATAAGACATCTTCAAATATGATAAGACATAATTGACGGCTATACTAGAAATGACAATTTCATAAACTCGTCATAATATTAACTATTTTATGTACGTTTAAGAAATATTTTAAATATTTTAAATATTATTAATTTCTTTTTTTTGGGGGGTTAACACAATTTTTCAAGTCAAAAGTAAGATTTTAAACTCAAAAATTATTTCAGTTTCTCATAAAAATAACTGACATTATAAGGATATTTAGATATAACAAAATCTTTTTTTATAGTAATCCCATCTTACATTTCATTTTAAGAATAGTAATAAAAAAAAACTATTAAGTTTACTGAACGGTAATAAAACACTATAATATTCCATAATATTTATATAACAGAAAAACTATTTTAAACACTAAATGTAGATCTACTTTCATAGAGAATGTCATTATACATGGATCTTCTTATCATATTTCATAAAATATTTGAAAAAGTCATTATCTCATGAGTATTTTACAGTTTTCTTTTTATTAAAATTAAAAAAAAACTTGATAAATGTTTTTTTTTAATTAAGAAAACTAAAATATTTCTCAGTTTAATTTTAATTTAACTTATCTATATTTTCGATTAGTATTTTTTCAGACCATAGACTTAACAACACTTACATTTTGACATTATAAATATTATATGATAAAAATTTATTACTCGTGGCTAATATTCTTTAAAACTAAGAATACAAATAGAAATATATTCAACTCAAATAGCAAAAAAACACTAAAAAAAACTGTGTATACATATTTTGCTCATGAGCAGCGCTAAACATACTTTTGGTAACTTTCTTTGTAACATTTTTTGAGTTGATATTTTTAGTTATAAATATTACTTTAAAAATATTCAAAATTTTCAGGTATATAATAATTAAGTTATTTGATTCTAATTTAAAACTTTATCTCAAAGTATTTCAGTAATATCTCGTATATATACTTTATACAATTTGAAATTGTGTGTACTCCATCGATTATTAGTCTTCATTCGATTTTTAATTGTGTTCTAAAATCATGTCTTGGTGAAAACATAATTAAACGTTTACCTTTGAATACTGTGCCAAGAATATGATATGTGTAATCGCCAATATTTTTTAATAAACATCACAGAACGAGCCTGACACGTTTTGTACAACAAGTCCCAAATTAATGTTTCTAACCGTTGCAACGCTATTTATACGCAAGGAGTATACTGAGCGTGTTGTATTTGGCTGATTTTAAGCGCTGCGGTTAGCGTAATGTTTTGATGTTTACCGCGAAGGATTTGGTCGCTGGTGAATGATAATTAGTATCACTTCGGATCTTTCCGGATAAAGCACGAAAAATTCTGGCACATGTTGCTGACAACTGGGGACAGTTAATACGTTCTTGAAATCCGCAGTGGCGACGAGTTGACAACACGTACGCCGTGTTGTGACCGTGGAATTCTGGTCTGCATGGTCAATTAATCGTCACGGATCCTTGTGGTGTATCTGTGCTCGCTTACAAAAATAATATCCTAAACGTGCGCCGCGCAGTTATAAGGGGTTATAATTAGACAGCGGCCAATTCCGAATATCGTGGTGGTTCAAGGGTGGGGACGATAGAGGGACGAAGATTTTTGGACAGCTCGCTTGATAGGTGCGGCAAACTATTTATACGTAAACCACGGCGGCGGGGACGGGTGAAAATATTAAGACTGTTGAATAATAATTGGGAATAAAACGACACATCCTGGCCATGAAGATTTTCTTTTTTCCTGACGACTTGTGGTGGTCGCACGATATCCGTCGCCGAAGCGTTTCGCCCGTTGATTTTTTTTATTATTATTGAACGCCTCACAATGGTATACCTGTTTCATTTCGAAAGGCCGACCGCCGAAGCCACGTGGACGTGTGTTTCCACCGCATACCGACCGTACCTAAAATGCTTCACTGTCAGCGAAGTAGATTCCGCGGCCAAGGGTCCGATTATGCGTTTAGTTCGGGCCCCCGTAAGTCAAATACACAACGGCAGTGTTAACGGCGATAGTAGTGATGACCACATTACATTTATGTCGTTCTATTACAAGAACAGCGGTAAAGGTATGTGGTATTTCTAATAAAACAATTAAATATTTACAATATTTAATGTTTGTCCGTTTCAGTAAGATGAATTTTTCCCTAATCAAATCATTTTCTTATGAACTCAATTAACTATTGAAAAAAACCCACTTTGATTAAAAATATTTTATTTTAATGCCTGTTGTGAGATTCGAATTTAAGCGAATTCGCAAACTCAACTTGCTATTAATAAATGATAGTGCAAGTCAAACTAAATTCTAAGAATTCCATATCCGTTTTGCAGTAATAAAATGCAAATTGATTTTTTTTTATCAGATATATATGTTTTTCCATCCAACATATAATTTATAATATATATTATAGATATATAAAATATATCTTAAGTTTTATTTTATAATGTTACTCTTTTTTTTTTTAATATTCGCCTTAAATAATTTCTATTAGTGAAATATTTCAAGTTTTTAATTAATTTAAAATTATAATATTATAATATGCTGTTTTGTTTTTCTCTTTTATTTGTAAACGGATCTGTTATGTGTAAGTATGATCTGTTATTTGATAAAAAAGTAAATAAACGAAATATTCAGCATGGATTAATCAATTATTAGTACATAAAATCTTGATTATAAATAGTTTTTGGGAAACAAAATTAATTCTATTTATTATTATTGTTTTTCTTTTAATAAAGCTCCTAGGTATAAACCTACCCTTAAAAATAATGATCGATTAATTCATGAAAAAATTTTATTTAAGATAATCACCCAAAATTTGATTAAAACCTGATAGAAAATGTCCTATTACGCATTTAGCAATCTACGACCAAGCCAGTTTTTTTAATTTCTGTGATGATGTCTCAAAAACTTACATAAACGTTATAACAATAAAATTGATAGTTATCTCCAAATTGATTAAGTTATGAAGTAAAATCGTAAATATAGTATAATTGCTTTTAATTTGTTTAAATTCTATTTAATTATTTTTTACCTTATATTTTTATATTGATTATAGATTCTGAAAATTTTTCAACATTAAAAAATATTATTATTATATGTAGAAAAAAATTTCTTTACTTTTACTCATTTAATAATATTCTTTATAGCAGTTTAGATATTTTCTATTTTAAACAAAATTTATTATATATTCCACATGTTAAGTATTGTTGTGTTGTTTTGACAAATTACATGTTTCAATAGGTATCTAGAGAACCATGATCTTATATTCTGGCATCGTTCAAATATTAGAAACATGTCCAAATTAACCAAAATTCAGATAGAGTTAATGATAGTTTTAACTTTTACGTTATCATAAAACTAACGTAAAACTTAATTTTTAGCTGATATCAAAATGCCAAGTGGTAAAATTGACAAGCCTTCCATTGAAGATAACCATGATGGTACTGTTTCTCTCAAATATGGACCTAAAGAAGAAGGACTTCACGAGCTCTACGTTAAGTACAATGGTGAAAACGTCCAAGGTATATTTTGTAGTAGTCATTTTATTTAAATAAAATTACCGTTTATTTGCTTTAGTTTTATACTTAAAAATTATAAGAAAATTAGAAATAATTAGATCAATTTAAAAATTACTCTTTTTTAATATTGATCTTAAGTAGCAACATTTTTCACAATTATATTTATATACCCTTATACACACATAGACACAAATATGTATGTATATAATATGTATGAATGTTTGTGTACTAACACTGACAGTAAAAAATTCATCCCGAAGTGTTTTGCGTCACCAGAATTATTTATTTTATATATAATTATTTTAATGACTGCGAGACAAAAATAAACTCATTTATTTGCTTCTCTGAATTAATTTTAGCTATTAGGCAAATTCGGTCGAATGCCAAAACTTCCTAAACTAAGTATAAAAAACTTAACCAAACATATTTTTTATTATAAAAACATTAATTCGCAAGAGTATTAATGCTATTATGGAACTCTATTATATGAGTTAATTGTTTCAAAATCTTGTCTAAACCATAGACAATAAATTATTTTTGTACAAAATATGTGCTGAAAATATATTGATTAGCTGCCATCATAATGTAATATGATAACTTCAGATGTAAAATAGTCGAATGGTTTTTTTAGATTATAATCCAGAAACTATTTTTCTTCACTGTTACTTTAATGTATACAAGATTAACAGGGTATAAGCTAAAATTATTTTATGATATTAATTTTTTTGTAACTGCATAACATTCATACTTGTTTTATAATAATATACTTATAATTAAGCCATCTTGACGTTAGCAGCAAACATTACTTTCAACTAGTTGATTTGTTGTTTGTGTAATAATACATTTTCGTAATATTTAAAAAAAAATTACTATAGGATCGCCTTTCAAATTCCACGTTGATTCCATAACTAGTGGATATATAACAGCATATGGTCCGGGACTAACTCATGGCGTTAGTGGTGAACCATCTAACTTCACCATATTTACCAAGGGCTCGGGCGCTGGTAAGATGTCATCCAAATACTCATGTGAACTAAGCTAAAAAAATTTTACTTTTTAGGTGGCCTTTCACTAGCTGTAGAAGGACCTAGTAAGGCAGATATCAGTTGTCACGATAACAAAGATGGCACTGTTTCCGTTACTTACTTACCGACAGCACCAGGCGAATACCGTATTTCTGTTAAGTTTGGCGAAAAACATATCAAAGGCAGTCCTTACGTTTCTAAAGTTACTGGTAATGTTACAGTTTCTCAAAAATATCTGCTTAAAATTTAAATGCTATTTAGTATTTTACCAAGAAAAAACATTTACACGTATTTCTACTTTTTAACAAAATGCTAATGACTTTAAAAAGTCTTTCTATACTTTAAAAATGTAAAAGCGCAATAACAGTAAACGCATTTTTTAATATTAATTAAATAATTTGAAATATTGTTAGTATTGCCCTGGTCATATCAATATAAACGGAAATTTATTTTAAATTTTAAATTTAACAATAACTGTACAGGCGAGGGGCGTAAAAGAAATCAAATATCAGTCGGATCATGTAGTGAAGTATCGCTTCCCGGAAAAGTCCTGGATAAGGACTTTAGATTATTAAATGCTTCCATTCAAGCGCCTAGTGGTTTAGAGGAACCTTGTTTTGTCAAACGCTTGCCTAATGGAAACTTAGGTTTGTATTATAACTTAAACGTAATAATACTGGTAATAAAATTAATTATCATCCAATTCTATATATCTTATTAGGTATATCTTTTACACCAAGAGAAATTGGTCAACATACGGTGTCCGTAAAAAAAATGGGGCAACACATTGTTAATTCGCCATTCAAAATAACTGTAGGAGAACGAGAAGTAGGTGACGCTAAGAAAGTTAAAGTTTCTGGAAACGGATTGAAAGAAGGCAAGACTCATATTGAAAACCAATTTTCAGTAGACACAAGGAATGCAGGTAATGCATTGTTTTAATTAGAGATGTGAAAATTGTTTTTTTTTCTAATTAAAATAAATTCGTTTTATTAGTTTTCTCTTTCATGTTTATCAAATAATGTCTATATTGATGACTAGAAAACACGTAAAACGTTTATTTTACATATTTTAGGGCCAATATTTGTTGAATTATATTATGAAATAAGTTATTAGTACAATATATCATCTGGGGTGAAGTAAAAGGATAAGGGGTCTTAGCCTTTTGTTTACAACTAAGCCCCCCCAGAAATTTACCAAAATGATATGCATTGTTTATAGCAATTATTTTTTGGATGGGGAAATTAAAGTTACCTCCTCAAAAAAAAATTGATCATCCTACGCCTATGCTTATATCTATCCAAAAATAGTATAAGCTTGAACTTGTATAACTAACATATTAAAAAATATTTTAAATGTCTTGAATCATTTAAAATACACTATTTTCAAAAAAAAGGTCAGTAGGTGATATATAATTTATTAATTTTAAGAAAACTCGTTTATATGTGATAAATTTAAATATTTTATGATTATTTAGCGTTTAAATTATAAACTAAACAAAACGTATAATAAAATAGCAATTAGAGTATCTGAACTCTGTTCTAATTAAAGTATTTTTGATTTTATGTGCTGAGATTAGGTCCCTACTAACAAAAAGGACGGTCAAGAGAAGTATATCATTTTACCGTCCTAACAAATTATAGGTTTAATGAAAAGCTAAGAAGGTATTAATATTACCATAAAATGTATGTTTATTAAACACTTTATTTGATATGATTTATTTCATGTCATTAATTAACTAAACTATGAGGAATTTTAAAAAATGTTAACATCTATTAAAAAAATTTTGGTTTGCAAAAATTGAAAAAAAATAACGGTTTTTTTTTTGTTTACATCTCTAGTTCTAATTTATTTGTAGATGAATTTTTAATATCATCATTTATAAAATGGCCTATTTTTATACTGCTATTTAGGTTACGGTGGTTTATCGTTATCAATCGAGGGCCCTAGTAAAGCGGAAATTCAATGCAAGGATAAAGAAGACGGTACTTTGGATATATCATATAGACCAACCGAACCAGGATATTATATCGTCAATTTAAAATTTGCTGATCACCATGTCGTTGGATCACCATATACAGTTAAAGTGACAGGTGAAGGAAGCAATTGTCAGCGAGAAAAGATTGAACGAAAACGAGATGCTGTACCTCAAACTGAAGTGGGCAGCAATTGTAAACTTACTTTTAAAATGCAAAGTAAAGCACTTTTCACTTTTTTATATAACTTCTAATATTGCTTACTTTTTTTGTTTCCAAAATAAATCGTTGTTTTTATGATTTGCAGATGTGTTGCCTTTTGATTTGTCATCAACAGTTACCTCACCAGGTGGTATCACTGAAGATGCTGAAGTTAATGAAATCGAAGATGGTCTATTTGCCGTACACTTTGTTCCAAAAGAACTAGGAGTCCATACAGTGTCTGTTCGCTACAAGGATATTCATATACCTGGTATTAAATTAATTATTTAGATCTCTTAAAGAAGTTTTATTTATACGATAACATTCTATAGGATCACCATTCCAATTCACCGTTGGTCCTCTTAGTGACGGTGGAGCCCATAGAGTACATGCTGGAGGTTCCGGCTTGGAACGCGGAGAACAAGGACAGCCATGCGAGTTTAACGTTTGGACACGTGAAGCTGGACAAGGCTCGCTGGCCATATCCGTAGAGGGACCTAGTAAGGCTGAAATCGATTTTAAAGATAGAAAAGATGGGTCGTGTTACGTGAGTTATACTGTCAGTGAACCTGGTATGTAACAATATAACCTATTTAGATTACAGTGTATCAAACTATATCACCCCGTTTTATAGGCGAGTACCGAGTAGGAATAAAATTCAATGATCAGCATATACCTGACTCACCATACAAACTGTTCATGTCACCAGCACAAGGGGATGCGCATAAACTTGAAATTGCTCAGTTCCCTACATCTGGCGTTACCGTAGATTATCCAGCGCAATTCCTTGTCCGCAAAAACGAAGCCGTCGGTCACTTAGACGCCAAAGTAAGTTTAATTTTATGTTTATAAAATACTTGTATTACTTGTAAATTAATTTTATTGAAATAGTTTGACCTGCCGTTAACTTGGCGTAACAAACTTTTATCATTTTTCTATGTTATTTAATGAAATTACATTTTTCCAGGTGGTAGCACCTTCAGGTTCGGAAGATGACTGTTTTATTCAGAATATAGACCAAGATATGTACTCAGTACGTTTTATGCCCCGTGAGAACGGCGTACACAACATTCATGTCAAGTTCAATGGTGTACACATTCCAGGTTCGCCGCTCCGTCTTAAAGTCGGTAAAGGCGATGCCGACCCTGCAGCTGTTCATGCATCAGGTCCCGGTTTAGGTGATGTTAAAACAGGTGCGTTTTTATAATAGTAATTATTAATTTTCATTTATATAGCGATCTAATCATTTTAATATTTTAGGTCATAAGACTGACTTCCTAGTTGACACGTGTAGTGCAGGTGCCGGGACTTTAGCAGTCACCATTGATGGACCAAGCAAAGTATCTATGGATTGTACAGAAGTGGAAGAAGGTTACAAGGTTAGGTACACACCTTTAGTACCAGGAGATTACTATATCAGTCTTAAATACAATGGATATCACATAGTTGGTTCACCATTCAAAGTCCACTGTACAGGTAATTATCGCGATTAAGTCATAAAATACTCAATCATTAATGATAACATTTCTTCAATAGGTGACGATCTAGCTGAACGCGGTCCTCAAGAAACGAGCTCTGTTGTAGTGGAAACTGTTCATAAAGTATCCAAAAGTGGAAAAATTGGAGGTAGTGCGGCTATATTACCACATTTCAAATCAAATGCGTCCAATGTGACAAGCAAAGGAATGGGTTTAAAAAAAGCTTACATAGGAAAGCAAAATTTGTTCAACGTCAGTGCGTCTGATGCAGGTAAATGTTGATAATTTTCCCTTGGTAATCGTTAACAATTATAATTTACTAATATTTTTTAAATAATAAAATTTAGGCAATAACATGCTTTTTGTTGGAATGTATGGTCCAAAAGGACCATGTGAAGAAATTTACATCAAACATATGAAACAAAACAATTATCAGGTATCTTATGTGGTCCGTGACCGAGGTGAATATATTTTGTTGATCAAGTGGGGTGATGAACACATACCCGGATCGCCGTTCAAAATAGAGGCTTAATTAAGAAATTAAAGTTTGGATGTTTATCAAAGAGAGGGAAAAAAAGATCTTTTTTATTGTCATTGCCAAACAATATTTTTTCGTCGTCAATTCAATAATTCTATAAATTATATTCAGTTATTTGTAATAAAAATCAACGAACCAATTATTGTAACTATGAGCATTTTAAAAAGGTCTTTTTATACCTTTAATGCTTAATCACTATTCAGCGATCAACTAACCTTTTTATCATTATATGTACCACAGTTATATATGTATTAATAATATAGTGTAAATATATTTATTATTCCGTAGTTTTAAATTCTTTCTTAATTTTATGAAATAAATATAATTATGCATAATACTTTAAAGGCATAAAGAGAACCAATAATGAATGTAAGATATAAACGATTTTTTTTTTCAAAATTTCAACGGACAACCCCCATAATTTGGTCAAAACTATTAAAAATTAATCTACGTTAGGTTTAATAAGCATTGATTTACCCTAAGCCGTGCCTAGAAGGTTAAAGTTTTGAAAAATGGTGTTTTAAAGCTTTCTGCATTGTTGCCGCCGGGTTAGTTAGGTAGACAAAATGAAAAGATCTTGCGTTTGAATATTAGTTGCTATTTATTATATTTAAATATATATTTACACTTATGAATGATTTTACGATCTTACTACCAAGTACATTTTTTTTTTATATTTTAAAAAGAAAACAAAAACAATGTGTATGGTTATTCACAGTACGAGATACATAATTGCGATTGGTTGAAAAATCGGAGGCTGTGGCATCAATGAAAAAGATTAAAGCAGTAGGACCAGATGAAGTGCCAGTAGAAGTATGAAAAATATTAGGCAGTATTAAAATAAGGTGGTTGAAGGAACTTTTAAATAAAATCTTATTAGAAGGGAAAATACCAAATGAATGTAGGAATAGTACTGTGGTGCTGATATTTAAAGGTAAAGGTGACATACAGGAGTGTGGAAATTATAGAGGCATAAAGCTTATGACTCATAGTATGAAAATTATTATTATTTTATCGTATTATAAGCATAGACAATTATTTTGATAGGGGAAAACAGATGGCGAATAAAATAGATAACACTAGTTAGTTTCCCAAGTGGCGTCGAGCCGTTTAATGAAAAAAAAAAGAATTGTAACACAAAAGAATATATGAGAACCAAAAGTAACAATAATACTAATATGGATCTGTCGACAGAATGACAAAAAAATGACCGAAACTGCAGTGGCGGATTTGGTTGGGTTCGTGGACGGTGCAATCAACGAGATAAGTGTCACGAAGATGACTGACTGGACTTATTATTGCGGCGAGTATTCGACGCTAAGCATTTATTGGACTTTACACCACGACGATAACGAGTGTGTGTAACGGTCCGGTTTACAGTGGAGCGGTGGCTGAGAAGGAGCTGATACGACCGCGGGGTGTCAAACGTGTGACAACGCCGTGACCGTGTCAATTTGTTTTCCTAAGTAAAGATTGTATTACATTAATACATATTCATTACGCGATATATTAAAAAAAAACTATATTTTAATCTTATTTTTTTATAAAAAAAAAAAAATTGTTATTATTTTATTTTAATAACAGTGAAACAAAATAAAAAAAACCCAGCACAGGGGGGTCACGGCACAGTGATGACGTGGCATAGATGGATCAAGTATAATGATATCTGACAGTGATTAAAATCACTATAAAAAAAAACGCTTCGATGCAAATCTTTAGATAGTGTTTAATTTTAAAAAATTGGTGGATTATTCCAAAAGCTACATGATCTGCTAGTTCATTATTAATATCCTAATTAAGATAAAGTATGTCGAATGAAAAAGGGATTATTAAAAAATATTATTTCTCATAAAAAAATAATGTTGATCCATACACTTTTCAATATGTCATAGCATTATAAAGTTAAAAATGTAAAAAATAAAATCGAGAATTTTCACACAATAATAGCATTTGGTAGCCATTTTCACCGTGAAGATAAAATAAAGTCCGAAATTTTTTTTTCCCATAATAAAGTAAATTACATTAGCTTTAATTTAAGATATATATAAAAGTGTCAGACTTTCCGGAACACTTTCAAAAGTTAAGTTGAAAAAGTTCTACTTTCTACATGCATTTTTTAGATTTGAACCCCCCTCGTATATAGGGAAATGGTCCGATTTAAAAAAACAGTATGTCGAATAAAAGATGTATATAAATACTACTTCTCATGAAAATATTATATTGATCTANGTATATAGGGAAATGGTCCGATTTAAAAAAACAGTATGTCGAATGAAAGATGTATATAAATACTACTTCTCATGAAAAAATTATATTGATCTATACATTTTTCAAAAAGTTATAGCATAATAAAGTTAAAAATGAAAAATACAAAATCGAAAATTTTCACACAAAAATAGCATTCGGTAGCCATTTTCACCATGAAGATAAAATAAAGTCCGAAATTTTTTTTTTTGCATAATAAAGAACATTACTTAACTTTAATTTAAGATATATATAAAAGTGTCATCCCTTCTGGAACATTTTCAAAAATCAAGTTGAAAAAGTTAATTTTTTGTGAAAAAGTTGTAATTTTAAATCCCCCCTTGTGTGCAGGTTAAGGGTTAAATTTATGAAAAAAATATACCAAATGAAAGGTAATAATATTATGCATCTATATAAAAAAAAATTATATTGATATGTTCATTTTTGAAAAGGTTATGGCAATTTTAAGTAAAAAAAATTGAAAAAATTAGCGATTTTTAAATTTGTAATTTTTTTGGAGGTTTTGGAC